GTCTCAAACACCAAAATTATCTACGGCAGCATTTTGTTTCGTCGAACATGTCGAATTTCCGAAACCCAATCACGCTCACGAGCGTGTATAATCCAAGTCGGATTTGAATCCGAACCCGGAAAGGTCCATACCCGTCAAAAAGCGCGTGGCCGACCTTTTCAAAGAAAAATCAAATTCTCACGCCTGAAACACGCAACTAAATACACTAGTGGACCCCATTTGCTTTTTTCAACGTATAAAACAAATATCGACCGTTCATTTTCAAATCCTACGGTTCAAATTCCTCAATTTTTCCTCGAACATCCTAGAACCCAATCACCGAATTTAAAACATATAAATCCACTACCCCTTGGCACAAAACCTCACATTTCGATCAAAAGAACAGAAAACACTATTTTCTTTCGAGTCTTTATTTGATTTTTGTTGAATTTTTTAAGCGATGGCCGGAAAAGAGAAGGACCGGCAATCGGAATAGATCTCGGCACGACATACTCGTGCGTCGGAGTATGGCAACACGATCGAGTCGAAATCATCGCCAACGACCAAGGCAACCGTACGACTCCGTCTTACGTTGGCTTCACCGATTCCGAGCGTTTAATCGGCGACGCTGCTAAAAATCAAGTCGCCATGAATCCTATCAACACCGTCTTCGGTAAATCCCTATTCCCCCCCTTTTAATTTTGAATTTTAAGAATCTGTGCTGTAGATTTAAAACTGAGACTTTGTATGCCTATTGAAATTACTTCTGCAGATGATCTATGCTCTAGGATTTGTAGAATTGACCAGATTTGATTTTCATGTTTAATAACAGATGCTAAGCGATTGATTGGTAGAAGGTTTAGCGATCATCGGTTCAGAATGATATGAAGCTTTGGCCTTTTAAGGTGATCGCTGGTGCCGGCGATAAGCCCATGATTGTGTCACTTATAAGGGCGAGGAAAAGCAATTTGCTGCCGAGGAATCTCATCAATGGTGTTGATCAAATGCGTGAGATTGCTGAGGCTTACCTCGGATCAACGATCAAGAACGCTGTCGTTACAGTGCCGGCTTACTTCAATGATTCCCAAAGGCAAGCCACCAAGGATGCCGGAGTCATTGCCGGGCTTAATGTTTTGCGAATCATCAACGAGCCGACAGCAGCTGCCATTGCTTACGGTCTTGATAAGAAAGCCACCAGTGTTGGTGAAAAGAATGTGATTTTCGATCTTGGTGGAGGTACTTTTGATGTTTCCTTGCTTACCATTGAAGAAGGCATCTTCGAAGTTAAGGCCACTGCCGGTGATACGCATTTGGGCGGAGAGGATTTCGATAATCGGATGGTTAACCATTTGTTCAAGAGTTAAGAGAAGAATAAGAAGGATATCAGTGGGAACCCTAGGGCTCTGAGGAGATTGAGGACTGCTTGTGAGAGAGCAAAGAGGACCCTTTCATCGACTGCCCAGACTACCATTGAGATTGATTCGTTGTATGAGGGTATTGTTTTACACCACCATAACCCGTGCAAGGTTCGAGGAGCTCAACATGGATCTTTTCAGGAAGTGTATGGAGCCGGTGAGAAGTGTTTGAGAGATGCTAAGATGGATAAGAGCAGTGTCCATGATGTTGTCCTTGTTGGTGGCTCGACTAGGATTCCGAAAGTACAGCAGTTGTTGCAAGACTTTTTCAATGGGAAGGAGCTCTGCAAGAGCATTAATCCGGATGAGGCTGTTGCTTATGGTGCAGCAGTTCAAGCTGCCATCTTGAGTGGTGAAGGCAACGAGAAGGTTCAGGATTTACTGCTTCTGGATGTCACTCCTTGTCCCTTGGACTCGAGACTGCCGGAGGTGTATGACAGTCTTGATTCCGAGAAAACACAACTATCCCCACCAAGAAGGAGCAGGTCTTTTCGACTTACTCCGATAACCAGCCTGGTGTCTTGATACAGGTTTACGAGGGTGAAAGAGCTAGAACAAGGGATAACAACCTGTTGGGTAAATTTGAGCTATCCGGCATTCCTCCTGCACCCAGGGGTGTTCCTCAAATTACAGTTTGCTTCGACATTGATGCTAACGGTATCCTGAATGTCTCCGCCGAGGACAAGACTACCGGCCAGAAGAACAAGATAACAATCACAAACGACAAGGGTCGTTTGTCGAAGGAAGAAATCGAGAAGATGGTTCAAGAGGCCGAGAAGTACAAGTCCGAAGATGAGGAGCACAAGAAAAAGGTTGAAGCCAGAATGCATTGGAGAATTATTCATACAACATGAGAAACACCATCAGGGATGAGAAGATTGGATCCAAACTCGACCCGGACGACAAGAAGAAGATTGAAGATGCCATCGACGGAGCCATCCAGTGGTTGGATGGCAACCAGCTAGCCGAAGCTGATGAGTTTGAGGATAAGATGAAGGAGCTCGAGAGCATCTGCAATCCTATCATCGCCAAGATGTATCAAGGTGCTGGGCCGGACATGGGTGGCTGGATGATGATACCCCTCCCTGCCGGTGGTAGCGGTGCCGGTCCTAAGATCGAGGAAGTCGATTAAACCAAATATTATTATTGCCGATGTTTTAACGATTTCTGGTGGTTTTACGTTTTTTACGTTTTCTGTGATCTCTGTTTTGAAAAACTTCCGGTTTAATTTGGGAATATGTTACCCATTTAGTTATTGAATCAAGGATTTTAGATTAATATCTGTTTAATTGAAGTTCAGTACCTTCAAAAAAGTTATTTTTATCATTCAGTACCCTTAAATTCAATTCCTTAGGTGCAATAACTAGAGAAAATTATACAATGAATCCCTTGTACAAATGCATATTATATAGGAATATTAAGCATGATATAAAGTCTAGTAATACAATGTGAAGAATTGTAAATTTAAAGAAACAAATTACAAGCAGTCGACTATTTCATGTTGTCTTCCAACAGTGTTTCCAAGTTGCAGATTCGATTTTCTTGTCAGCCGTTCCATCATAATCAAACAATAAGCAAATGTTTGTGAATTAAATCTATTAAGAATAAACATCGTAAATATTTTTAATGTAAAATAATATAATTTAATAGAAAGAGCGTCATCAATATCTTATCATTTACAACTTTTTACATATATAAAGATAAAATTAAGGTAATTTTATATATTTTTATAATATTTATACAATTAATAATAGGTTAAATTATATATTTAATCACTCGATTATTATCCCAGTCCAACTATTCTTTAAATCATACTTAAACTTATTATTTCGTTTTGGTTACTACAATTAAAAAATTAATGATGATGTTAAATATCACATAAGATAATCCTTTGCTATCATTAACAAAATAAAAATATCACATCAGTGATATTATATTTTTGATGATGGATGATCAAAATGAATAAAAACAGAAATTTAAGTATATTTTGAGAAAATAATTAGATGAATAAAACAAAACATAGGAATATTTGGTGAGTAAATACATAGTTTATCTTAATAATAATAATATAATCAGTAAATTAATATAATTCTATTTGTTATATAGTAAATTTTGAATAGATATAATAACTCTGTCGATAAAAGTATGATTATAATCCTTATATATTTAACGTATAAAGATTTTGGTATGAAATAAATAATTTAACATTTTTAATACCGGAAACTAGACGTACAAAAGCTATGTAATAAAACATGATGCATGAATGTTTCTTATTTTAATTTTTATTAATATTTAATACGGGGAAAAAACAATATAATAACAGATTGCCCATTAACTAAATACTTTCATTTCGATCTATCATTGGATGCACGGTCTATATATATGGAATGGTCGAATTTATTTTAAAGAGTAAATATGGATAAGCTAAATACAAGATATTTTTTTATTTTAAATCAATTGGAGTAATCATTTCAGATTAAAATTGATATTAAAATCAATTGATCAAAGATTTGAATATTTAGATGGTTATTCTTGGATTAATTACATATTTAATTATCCAATTATCATTTTGATTCCATTTTAATCATTTAATTATTTTTAAATAATATTAATGTTGTGTTTTGATTTTATTTTGATCACCTGTCATTAAAAATAAAAAAATTATGACATGATAATTTTTATTATTTTCTATAATTATGTGATATTATCTTATGGTGATACATTATCATCACCATTAACTTTTCAATGGCAAGTGACCGAAATAAAATTAGACAGTGACATTGAAGATGATTCTGAAAAAAAAAACTGAATAATTAAAACAGAACCAAAATGATAGTTAGATGACTAATCAGTAGTTTCCTCTAAGTTCTTTAAAGGCGCGTGTTTTCCAGACCTAAAAACCCAATCCCATACATTGCAAGTCGGTCATGGAAAACTATATTATCATTTTCGTCCTCCACCTTGTTAAAGTTTCTCTAGCTTCATTTTTTTTTCTTTCTGATTTTCATCCGCAATCCAATTAGACTCTTCCTACAACCAACCCATTCCAGGCCATTTCAATGGTCCAGAAACAGAGCAGTTGTGGATTAAGGCCACTTTTTTTTCTTCTTAATGTAGTGGTCTAGACTAACGGTATTCAGGCACATAAAACAGAGCTCCTTTTGCCACCAAGAAACTATAGAGCACTTCGGTTAAGGGACTGCTCGACATGGTGGTCGAAAATTGTGGGAAACAATTACCATTACCTACCATTGACTACTGATCAGAAAGGATGGTTAATTTATAACCTGAAATCTAAAGTCTGGTACCATAAGCAACAAATCATAAGTGACGATGGTAGGTACTGGTAATTGTTTCCCATAATGTCAACCACTATGCCTCATAGCCGGGCGTGGGGATGGCAGAACGAACACGGTGTAACTGGTGCAATAAGTTCGATTACCGAGACTCTCGACTCATATTCGAGCACAAAGCCCTGACTCATGTATTTAGGGAGGGTAATCAGAGTGCCAATGAAATGGTTGATGACAACTGAGCTCCTACGAATAGGACTGTTTTATAATTTGCTATGACATTGCTTTCTTATTGACCCAAAAACAGTAAGTAAATAACAAAATATCACTTAATGCCATTGGAGAACATGGTTATATGCTAAAAATCTTAAAGAAAATTCAACTAAATGCCAATATTTAGTAGTAACATTCCAGAAGTAAATCTATAAGTTCTTATCTAAAAGTTGCATACATTAGTTTTTATGCATACCCTTTTTTCAGTTCCCTTCATACTTTGGGTCAGCCGTCACATAATGATAAGCAATAACCAGCGCGAATATTAAAATGCCTAGAAAATTGGCAAGAAACCCCAGCTGTTCATCATCAATCATCTGCATCATCACATAAAAATCACCTCAAATCAGTAGGCAAATCACAAATATTTCCCAATGAATCTCTAGTCCCAAAGAAAGCTTCAAAGTTCAAATTCTATCCATGTTTTTCCCTGAGTGTCGGACACAAGTATAAATATCTCCGTTACTTGATAACAATATCGAGTACAAGCATACATCCTATACGAGCATATTCAACTTTTTAAAACGTTTTTAATATTTAGAAGATCGCATCCTATAACATTGTCCAAGTATACGCTAAACAGGATACTTCAGGTGGGGAATCCAAGCAACCTAGGAAAAAACTGTAAATCAGTAGATAAATCACAAATGTTGTAAATGAATCTCTAATCTCAAAAAAGGTTTCAAAGTTCCAATTATCTACATTATTCAATGAGAGTGTTGGATATAAGATACGCTCGAAATATCTATTGTTACTAGGTGCGAGTATCGAGCAATGAATCCCTAATCTGTAAAAAGGTTTCAAAGTTCCGATTATCTAAATTATTCGATAGAGTATCGGATATAAGAATATACTAATATTATGTTATTAGGTGCGATGCGAATATCAAGCCAATGAATCCATAATCTCAAAGAAGGTTTCAAAGTTCCAAATTCCAATCATCTACATTATTCGATGTCCAATAAATAGAGGGAAATTCAATTTTTAAAAACATTTTCATGTATTTAGAACATCATATCCTATAACCTTGTCCTAATATATCAAACAAAGTACCTAAAAGAAACAGAAAAATCTCAGCATCATAGAAGAAAACAGTAAAAGCTATGTTTGGCTAGAATTTAAATATTAGACTTTCATTTTAGATGTGAATTGTGAGAACGAAACACATAGGCTTAAATTAAACATGATTAATCAAAATGTGTTGCCTGTGTTGTTAAAGCACGTGAAATATGCCCCTAAATATACGAATAATATGATAAACATCTAACAAATGATGAATTTGACAAAAATATGTTCGAACTCCAGATCCAGAGTCTATCCGATCACTTATTTCTAGAAATCCTTCAGTTTTCAGCTTATATAACCAAAATCGCAATGAAGAACAATGGAAGAACAGGAAAACTGGAATAATAGAAAGGATGAGCCAAAATAACACGAAAAACAAGAAATTAATCGTCGACAGCGAATGAAAAGAAACCGATGATCAGATTAAGTTCGTGATACATTGATACGGTGATCAATGAGAATAACAATGGCGTACCTTGACGGATGCAGGCGACGCGAGGCAAAGCCAAAGAGCTGAAGAAACGAGCAGAGATATCTGGAAAGAACGAGTCAAAACAGAACACTGAATGTGAAAGAGCCCTATTTATCGACTTCGAAGACTTTGAATTGTACACTCTTGAAGTAAACGGCAGCGTTTTATGGACCTGAAAGAGTAAAAAACACATAGTGTGGCTGCTGGGATTCGAGCCCAGGTCTCCACGGCCACAACGTGGAATTCTTACCACTAAACTACAGCCACAAGTTATTGACTTTCTTCAATTATTTTAATTACCTTTTGTGTTTTGTCTTCGCCAGGGACATATAATTAATACTAAAATAAATTTAATTTGTAATTATATTAAATATTTTATTTTGAAAATAAGAAAAATATCACTAGATCAAAAGAATAGGTACATCAGATTTAACAGTAAATATAACCATTAAAGAACAAATCAAGTTAGAAGAGAGTGTCCTAGAGTGATTATTAGAAGTTACATGAAACATATAATGTCTTAAGGAAGTCATATAGAGTACATAACATCTTCTTTATATTTCATACATGCACGATAGTTAGGTGGTGCGTAGAAAACGTCGAGTGGTCCATATATCTTTTAAAAGACGTGATATAAACGATTTTTCATGAGTACTATAATAAATATCCTAATTGAAAAAAATAATTTTCTTAACACCTTGACCAATTTTTTTTCTCAACATATTATTGAGCAATTTTTGAATAAAGGAACCACTACATTAGTTGTTTTGCGGATAAGAACTACACTCCAATCCCTAAAGGTTCAAGTAATCAACGAGCCTCGCACGTGTGAAAGTAAGAATTGAGAGATCCTTATCAAAACGACCGAGTTCATTGGCAATTAAGGTAAAATCCGTTTCGAAACAAACAATGGATCAACCACGATTAATGGCAAACGGAAACCTACAACCAATTTATATATTTCATCCAAACATGTTTCACCACGACTTGAAGAAATAGTTACTCAAATATTTTATTCAATGAATTCTATTCAAATTTTAGTAAAGTTTTGAATTCAATTCTTAGATGGTAAAAGAATATTTCATTTATATGTAATTATAAAATATAAATATTAAAACTCTAAATACCTTATATTTAAATAATAAAATAACAAAACCAACTTCAATCATGATCAAAATCTGGGAAAGGCAAATTTGAGCACGGCATGAGCTTATGAAAGTATGAGATGGATGCCATCTTTGTTGATAAGTTAAAAAAAACATATATTTTAAGATTTACGTATGTCCAAATGAAATTTAATCTCACTAAATTAATATTTATGGCTATAAATAATGCTTCTTTAATATGTAAAAAACTAAATATATGTTGGATTTATACCTAATTGAATATTGTGTATAAATAAGGATAGACCGATGAGATATTAGTAATTTTTAGAAAATTTAAAATTTTATATAATTTAAATCCTTTTTATATTTTTATTAATAATTTAATTGTGCATTATTAAATTTATAATATAATTATTTAAAAATTTATACTCTAACATAAAATCACACATTGATTCCTATTTATAAATCAATAAATTAAAAAAGAAAAATGAAATCAATAATTAAACTATTATTGGATCAAACTTAGGTCATTCCACCATTTAAATTTTCAAGATTAGATATTATAGGATGAAACTTAGGTCATCCCACCATTAAAATTTTCATAGTTTTAGATAACAGATATTTCATAGAATTGACTTGTTTTTTCACCTGTGTAATTAATTTATTATTATTTTAAACAAAAATCTTATTTGATGTCCGTGAGTGACATAGATAATTATAAAATAAAATTCTTTAACTGATTTATTATTAGTTAAGTTATTACGATTGTTATTATATTATTTTAGAAATATGGGATGAAATATGTCTAAATGTGTATTTTTCTTTTATTTATAGGCGATGTTGGGATTTGAACAATTTAAATGTTATATACGAAAATATTTAAATATATAAAAATAAAGCATGGTTTCAAAATATTTAGCATTTAATACAATGTGTATTTGCGGTAAAGACTTTGTTTTATTTTTTCTAATTTATTTTGACTTTAAAGTATAAATATTGTCAAAAACTAAGGTTATTGGAAAATGTTTCATCGTAAGATATTATCGATAGTGTTTGACCTTCTCCACGTCTACCTATAGTTACCATCTTATATTCACAACAGATTTATAAAAAAAAAATTGATATGAGAAATCCATTAAACAATTTTAGAAATAAAAGAGTGTTGTTTTCTTTAAAGGTCTTGAATATATATGACAATTTAATATGAAACCGACGGATTTTTACTCAATTAAACCTGATATGATCAGATTAAAAAAAATGTGTGGGTCCGAGTTAGATTCAGATTAAATTTTATATATGGTTAGGTCGGATCGTGTTCGGATAGAGGGTGAAAAACCTTCGATATGACCCGACCCAACCGGAGGTAATAGATTAATTTTTCATATAAATTTATGGATAATTATTATAATTCCCTATCTCTATATTTTTTTAAATATATCCTTAATTTATGACGGGTTGGTCGGATTTGGTCAGGTCGAATTTATACTAGAAAAAATCGGGTTGGGTCGGATTCGAGTGGAGTGTATATTTTTCGGGTTGGGTAGAAGGTATATATTTTTGGTCGGGTTGGGTCAAGTTGACCAAAAAGCCGAACTAACCCGACTTGTTGTCATCCATAATCTAGATTCAAACAATTATATTCGTAGGATATGCTTTATTCGAATTCAAGATAACAATACTTTGTTTAATCACTAAAATACTTAATAGATTGAATGTATTTAAATATTTATTATATTTTATTTATTTTGTTTTAATATTTATTTATATAATCGAGATAAAAATAGATTAGATAAACATACACGTATATAATTAAGACATATAACAGATATAAATGTTATCTGATTCAGATTTGTGGGAGACCTTATGGATATTAAATAAAGCATATATTGATCCATTATTATACCTAATTTTGACTAGACATAACAATTTCTGTTATATAAAACGTTAATTGATTTAATGAACATTTTATTAAAATTTTATGAATGAATAAAACAATTTCTATTTGGATTTTAACTTATTTAACCTATCAATCAAATCGTATATTATAATGATCAAATTCAAACAAAAATAATTAAAAGTTATATTATAATTTATAAATGATGAAATATTAAAAAGAGGACCATATATTGTTAAATTTTGAGTTTGAATAATCTAATACATCACTAAATTTAATGATTAATTATTTTAGAATGTTAAATTGATCATTTTTCCCCAATAATTTTATCCAAATTTTAAAAAATAAAAAGAACCATTCTATTTATTGAATATTAATCACACATTCAAGTCAGTAAATTCTTAGAACTTTTATTTTTATTTTTATTTTCATTATTCTCGAAAAAAGTTGATAATATTTACCAAATAATTACCAAACCCCACCAATCCATCAAAAGTTGTTCCATTTGGGTAGACAATATATAGTGGCGCTTGATTTTTAAATTATTCTGCAGTGTTCGATTTATTATTCATAAATTTAAAATTATAATTATTTAAATCAAACTAAATTTGATTTAAATTTTATTTATAATCTCAAAAAATTAAAGTTAATAAGAAAAAAGTAAAATTCGAGGTTAATGGAATCGAAAATTGATGGATTATTCAAAAAAATTATCGAATGAAACCGTATACACCATAATAGGAGGTCAGTGAACTATGGCGAAATAATTGTTTTTGTTAGTAAACTTTCATTATAATAATTTTAAAAGAATGACATATTTAATTATTATTTTATAATATCTTAATAAATTTAATAACTATTTTCTAATAATTTGATAAAATTTAATGCTCATTTAATAATCATTTTATAAATTTAATGACTATTTTAATAATATAAAAATCCAGTTATTAAAATATCATTTGAGCATAATCTTATTACCACTACTATACTTTACCCTTTTACTGGGATGTCGATGCGAATATTCTTTTCCATAGGAATAACGGAACAAGAATCTCCGGATATTAATTAGAGTTTCCAAAACATTTTTTAAAATACTAATTTAATGAATATTATTTATAATTTTTTTTAGAATATCAGGTCCTTATCAATGATTCAATATAGTTTCAAATAGTTTTTAATATTTTATTTTTAAATATTTTGAACATTATATTTTTAGTTTTATTTTTTATTTTTTAAGTTTATATGTAAAGTCAGGACCACTAAGGGTCTGTTTGATATAATTTTGAAAATTGACTTTTAAAAGTATTGTATAAATGAACTTTTAAAAGTGTTGTACAAAAGTACAGTTTAAAATTTAACTGTTTGTGATTTCTGTTAAAAATAAGTTTGAAAATATAAAATGTTAATTATAGACATTATGTTATAAATTAAAAATATAAAAATTACTAATAAAAATATGTTTATAATAAAAATATATTTTATAATAACTCATTGTTAATATTTTAATATATAAAGTTATAAACAATGCCTTTTATTTACTTTTAAGTAATTAAAATAAATTATTAAGTAATAAATTATTTTTTAAAAATGTTAGTATTAAATTATTAATTTTTAAAATAAAATGTAATTACTAAATACATAATTGAGTGAATCCCATGCATTAGTAAAATAAAATTATAACATGCTTATTTTTTAGATTTTCGACCTACCTAATCGCTAAAGTCAATGTTGACTTCAAACATTTCAAGTTTTTTAAACAATTTTAAATTTTCTTAATTTTCGCTTTTAAAATCACCATTATTAAAAAGTTATTATGACAAATAGAGTACGAGTTTCTACATAAAAAAAAATAGATCGAGTTTTGGTTGGGTCGAATTGGATGCGGGTGAAGACATTTAATTTTCGGATTAAATTTAAGTGGTTCAGGTGGACCCCTACTTATGAACATTCCTAATAACAATCGTATTAATACAATTCTACAGCGATTTCCGTCAATCAAAGGTAATACTAATGAATTTTTGAAATTCGAGAGCTTAATTGAGTGTAATTTTTACATGGAGATATAATTGTTTTATACGAAGATTAAAATACCGCTTAAATATGATATTTATATATTTATAATATCTTATTAAATATTAGTTTTATTAATAAAATTTAAACTCAATGAAAAAAATAAATATCTAAATTATACTCAAAATTTAATTTAGGTATTAACTTTTACATTTAGTCAAAATTTAATAAGGATCAGGTTTGATGGATTCGAGTTAAATTTCCATGCAGGAATGTATTTAGGCCTAAGCCTACCTAGGCATTGGCCCACCCCATGCCAAAAAAGGGGTAAACTACTCATGTAGTCACTTTTTATTTAGTTTCTATTTTAGTCACCCAACTATTATCTATTTTAAATCACACTTAATGTTATATTTTGGTTCTTTTTGGTCACTCTTTAAAACATTACCAGTGATGTTGACGTGTCATCATAAGATAATGTCGTGCAGGATTAAAAATAATTAAAAAGTCATTAACATTTTGTTATTTTTTTTAACGGTATGTGATCAAAACAAAACCAAAACGTAAGGTTAGATATGATTTTGAAAAAATAATAGTTGCGTGACCAAAATATAAATTAAATAATAGGTAGGTGACCAAATAGTTAATTTTTCCTAAATAAAAAATATGTATGAATTATGCTAAAAAAATTATATTGGTCCATTTAAAATATTTTTTTCTAGATTTAATCTAAATATATAATTTTTATTATATTTTTAAATTAAAAATTTATGAATTATTTTAAATAAAAATTTTCTTAAGTTTATATTAGCTAGATTTATAAAAAATTTCTTAAGTTTATATTAGTTCGATTTATAAAATTTTTCTAGATTCGCCACTGTTTTCATGTACCTACTCCAAAACAATGACTGATGATTGAACATATCAAACTCCACCATAGGAAAAACAAAAATGTCCTAAACTTTTAAGGGGCTGAGAAAGACGTGAAGAAGTTGCAATAATTTTTACATGCCAAACTAAAAATTGTGTATATAAATATATGCATCATCTCCTTCATTTCTTCAAACAAAATCTTCAATTTATTTCCAAGAGAGATAAGCAAAACCCATGGCCATGAAACCCACAGGTAATTTATACAATCAAGCTCAGCCGTATGTGGCCATGGTTTTAATGCGTTTAGGCTCTGCCGGTATGCCCATAGTTGCCAAATATGCTCTCAACAAAGGTATGAGCCAGCATGTTTTGGTGGTCTATCGGTTCGCCATTGCCACTCTTGTCCTTGCTCCTTTCGCCGTTGTTTTCGAAAGGTTCGGTTCTCTGTTCGTCTCGTGTTTGTGCTCGAGTTCGAAATCAGTCCGATAAATGACAATCCGACGACATTTTTCTTTGCAGGAAAGTTCGGCCGAAGATGACCTTATCTGTCTTTGTTCAGATAGTGTTGTTGAGCTTATTGGAGTAATGAGAATCTTAAACCATCAACAAACAATTTTCATGATTTACGTCTGTCGTGATTACAGACATGACGTTTGATCTTCCTTGCAGGCCTGCGATTGATCAAAACTTGTATTACACTGGGATCAAGTATACAACGGCAACCGTTGCGACCGCCCTGTGCAATGTTCTTCCGGCCTTCGTGTTTTTGCTAGCTTGGGTTTGTAGGTAAAATTCGTTGTTAATGTGTTTGTTTCACGGAAAATAACTTTTTTTCTCTCGATTTTTAATGATTTTGTGAAGAAATTTTCCAGGCTCGAGAAAGTTGATGCGAGGAAAGTACAGTGCCAAGCGAAGATTTTGGGGACCATTGGAACTGTCGGAGGAGCAATGATTATGACAATGTTCAATGGGCCAATGTTGCCATTTCCGTGGACGAAAATCAATCATCACGCACAGTCTACAAACGATGCATCAAACATTGAAAATCCGGTGAAGGGTGCTATAATGATCCTTGTAGGCTGCGTTTGTTGGGCGTGTTTTGTCATTCTTCAAGTAAGAAATCAAAATCCCGACCTTTTATTTTCTTGTTCAATTGTATGTTACTCCGACTCTTAATTTTTTTTCAAAATTTCTATATCTGACATGTATTTGACCCATATTCAAACATGGGTATAAGATATGATCCACTGAAGTATGAGTAACATCGATATGACCTAAATCAAAAACCAAATTCAATACGGATTTTATGAGTTATAACCATGTTTCTCATCTTTGTTGTGCAGACGATCACCTTAAAATCATACCCTGCCGAGCTATCTTTAACAACATTGATTTGCTTTATGGGCGCAATTGAAGGTGCCATTGTTGCCTTGGTAATGGAGAGGGGCAATGCTGCTGCTTGGGCCATTCACTGGGATTCTAAACTTCTCGCCGCGGTTTACAGCGTACGAAAACCCTAAACCTTAAATCATAAAATAAAGATCGTAACATCGCGTTTGAGAATTTCATTATTATTGCAGGGAATTATATGTTCTGGGGTTGCATATTACATAGGAGCAATGGTGATACAAGCAAAGGGACCCGTCTTTTTTGCTTCATTTAATCCTTTGACAATGGTGATCGTTGCCATTATGAGTTCCTTTATCTTTTCCGAGATAATGTATTTAGGAAGGTACGTAATCTTCATATTTGAATCTTTCTTCTGGCTTTCAAACACTTGGAAAGCAAAGTGGGGAAAGAAAGAAAAAAGTAGCTTTTGATATGATTCAATAATCTTATAACAAAAATCGAGTGTTTCAGTGATAAAAGAAACATGATTGAACAATTGTGTATGCATGTGTATTGTCAATGATTTAGAAAGATTATGAACATATATTATCTTATAATCACTCCAGATAAAAAAAATCTTATCACATGGTTCTTCGATATTTCATAATTACATAAACTCAAACGGATAACTTGTGGATAAATTTTAGTATTAACCCATCACTCAAATGGTATTTACAGGGTTATTGGAGCAATCGTGATTGTTGTAGGGCTTTACCTGGTTTTGTGGGGCAAAAGCAAAGATCAGAAGATGTCGTCAGATTCAACCGACGACACTAAGGAACAAACTCCAATAGGTGGTGAAACTCAGATGGCCACTACAAATGAAGCAACAACACCCATTTCAAATCAAGATTTTGTTGCTTTAGATTTAAGTAAAGTGTCTAGAAACAGCCCACAATAAATATCATTATATATATATATGACTAAGCTTATTCTAATTGCTTTGATTTGGCCTAACCAGCCATTTGTTTTCTTTCTTTTTATCGATTTAGGGTTTTATGTTTTTTTTAATTTTAACAGTGTTATCTAATTGGACTAATTTCATCCTTCTTGTAAGATATAAATATCAAATTATGATAAATTTAAATAAAAAAATTTCACTTCTAATTTTTATATATAGAAGAGAAATAAATTATATATATATATATATGATAAATTACAATAGACGTCACTCGAGTAAGATTACGAATGATTCACCTAATTTTAAAAGATTACATACAAATCACTTAATTAATCAATTATTAAAAACATGTTATTAGACCGATGAAATAAAATGGACGTTAGAGGGCATTGTTAGTGAACATTTTTAATAATTTTCTTATTGGGTAAATTGCATTATAATTCATCCAATTATTAGTAAGATTACAAATGAGTCACTCAATTACTAATAAGATTATAAACGGATCATTCAATTTTAAAAAGTCTCAAATGTATCACTCAATTAAGAGGAAAAAATAATCTCATTTCAGGTTTTGGACTTCTCAAAGATTGGGACTCCATTCAATGATATGAAGGTGGAGAGGTTGTCGTTGGTGAGATAAAGAACATATCCTCCCGAGGCGAAGGTTATATGACGGTTTGGATGATTCCCTGGCTGTTGAGAGTGTTTCTCAATAATCTAATTTGATTTATTAGACGAGAAGACCGATTTAAATATTATGAAAACATTTGGGGTTCATTAACCACCATATACGACAACCAACCACGTCGTTGCAATGACACATGACTTGATTGTTATAATTAATGAATCCAGTGACTTAATTGTTATAATCAATTAATTGAGTGAGCTGATTGTAATTCTATGAAATATAATATTTTAAATTAATAAAATATTTCACGTCAGGAGGTTCTCAAATATTTAACGACCCAATAACTGGTTTGTAATAATCTTAATTGAATTACTTGTTTGTAAATCTTTTAAATTGAATAACTTATTTATCATTTTACTCATAATTAAGTGACATGTGGTACAATTTAGCCTTGTATAAATTACTTCCTATCATATATTGGTTATTTTGATGTGGTTTGCTAATTTTAATATTTGTTTTGAGTAATCTTTTTCCCTTTCGCTGTGTCGTTTGAGTCTTAACTTGATGAGTTGCGAGGGATTTTAACGAGTTACAGTTTAATTTAAAAAAGATAATAAAAAATCCATTAATTAATTTAGTGGTCAGAGATAATTTATATAATCTCATTTTGTGTGAGTTCAAATCCAAACATATACCTCAAAAATATAATATTTCTTCACTTAATAAAAAAATACAGGATTCAACATATAATTGAATGGGCCTATGTAAAAGGACTAGGAACGAACTTTCCTGTTGTCATGTAAACATAAGCCTAACACAAATTAAATTCAATTTGTTTTGTGGTCATTCTTAAGAAATTGTGTTTAATATTTTTAAGTAAAGCTTTAAATATATTGCATTTGAAATTAATAAATTAATTTTGTACCTATTAAATTTGTTAAAAGATTTCTCGACTTCTTCTAAATGAATTTATGAAATATCATTTGTCAAATAGTTGGTCCAAATTTCTAACAATCGATGTTATATTCTTAGGAGATATCATCGGACGAGTATAATATCGCATCAACACATTATCAAAAAAATTTGGGATTATATCCAGAAATCCTTCAATAAAATTTATCAGATTAAAAAATATTATATATATATATATATATATTTATTTTTGGTTTAAACAGGTACAAAGGGTTGTTTAGCTGCCCGTTCTTTCAGAAATTAGAATCTTCTCAGCTTCCTTAGGAGAGTTTTGCAGCAAAATTGTATCTCCCTGGTAACTCCATACTTGCTTGGTGATAATATCTGCTACTCGATTGACTTCTCTAAGTATGTGCTTCAATTCAACCATCCAATTTCTTTTGAGCAAAATCTCCACGTGCTTTAAATATTATATATATTTAAGGGCCGAAGATGATGGTGTTGTTGATATTGATTTTAATTGAAAAGGTAAAGGGAAAAAATCAAAAAGGAGTGTTGTGGATTTCTGAAATGGAATTCCAATTATTAAAAAGTATACATTACCGCCTAACATGAAAATGAGTTCTGAAGGGACACGACAATGCAACATGTAAACATTAAAACAGTACTAAGTTGGGATCTTGGTCATCCCCAGTTGTTATCAATTATCATCATTAATTGCAAAAGCACTGAATTATTATTATAACATCCTAGGAAATTAATCTATAATTAAAATTAATGATTAATTAATAATAATCTTCTTTTTTTTGGAATCCAAAGGAACGAATATCCAGAATATTGACCTACAAAGATGCCTTGTGTTATGGGTTCATTGTTCCGTTAAAGTGGAAATTAGATTATTAATTCTTTACATACAATATGTATACCTAGTAGTTATGAGTATGACAACCACATTACCTTATAAAACTGCTCATGCATACTTAAATGCTTTCCCATTAAGATTAGTTTTGAATTGAGTGTCGGATTAGTGTTTTGTGACTTAACATGACTCAATCAAATTAATATTTTTATTTACTTATTTATTTATATATAATTATAGAAATGTAAGTTTTTTTCTTCTAATTTGTTGAATGATGGAGTGAGTAATTGGATTAGTTCAAGATCAAATTATTTAAGAGAAACAAAAAAATCCAGACCACAGTCAGATTTAAGGATACAAATTTGACTCGAATTTGACGGATTATGGCTCAACTTAATTTTACAAGATTAAGTTTTTTAATGAAAAAATCGAGTTCAAATCAAGTCAGGTTATGTGAAGGGTAAGGTCATGTCAAGTCGAGTTTGGATTTAGAGTAAAACATTTTCGACCTAACTCGAGATAATAATACAATTTCTTCTATAAATTTAAGAATAACTTTTATAATATCAATCTCTTTTTACATATATTTTGCAATAAGGTCTTTATTTTATTGAATACAAAATTTTATATTTGAATCAAATAAGGTAAGATGTAGTTTTTTACCCAAAATCAAATCATATTTTAAGTCGGATAGAACCTCCCTATACTCGAATTAGGCCAGGGGATTTTCCTTTTGAATCAGGTTAGATTAACTAAAAATCTAACTCAACTCAATCTATTATCGCTCTAATCAGATTTGACCCATTAATAGATTTATACGAATATATTTAATAAAAAATGTAATAAACCCAATTTGTTTTAACAAAAAGATTAATATACATAATTTTAATATTTCAACGCAATTAATGGATGAAAAATATCCTCATTTACGTCTTCCCACAAATATTATGCTCAAAATTCTCACTATTAATTTTGAAAATATATATACATAAAAAGAAAAATATAAAATAGCTTGATATCTTCACCTACATCTTTATCAGAAATCTTGTTTATAAGTAACTGAAACTAGGCAAAGCAATTATCATATAACTTTAATAAAATTATCGTAAACGAATTCTAAATTGAATGTTAATTGTTAGTTGTCATCGTTGACGAGCCGAAGTTTAGTCACCTAACTGAAAACAAGGGAAAAATGGAAGGATTGTTTGAATGATTTAACAATTACCATAGTTAGTGGATTTTGGTGACTAAGTATCACCGTATTACATTTTAGTCCTAATTTCTAATATTTGAAATTGGGTAAGTAAAAGGGAAACTGAATAACGAATTGGAGAAAACCCCTCCATTAAATTGCCAAACCTCAATGGTTAAAAGTTCTTCAAAATCCCAAATTTTAGAATTTTTGGGATTAACCCTAAATTAGTACTCTAAACTTCAAATTAAGCATACATTTGTGAAACTCAAGCAATTTCCTATCATCTAGAGTTATTTATTTCATCATCAACTAAGTATAAGTAAAACCCTAATCTTAATCTTATTTCATCTAAATTAGTACTATAAACCCTAAACTAAATATTGGTAAGCATTTGAACAAAGTAATTTCATCATAATATCAGATTCAATTGATAAGTATATTTTACCCGCACCAATACAAAACTATTCTGTCAGAATATCATATTCAATTGATTCAAATCGAATTTTGAATAGAATTATTTTATAAGTCAGATTGATTTAATTATGTTTAAACTAAAATTTAATAATTAAAATATTTGAAATGTATGTTTACTCAGTTCTAAATACATGCATATATAAATGTTAATATAAAAGACATTTTAGTGCTATTTTCCATCAAAAACACATTCTAGTACTATTTGAACAATTAAGGAAGTAGGTGGGCCAGATCTAATTTGGGCCTTCACTTTACTATCCGTGAATAGATTTACTTGTGGGCCCTAATTTGGTTCTAACTGCAAAGCCACTAGCCTGTAAAAACGAATGCACCGAATCGGACGATCGGAGGTATGTTCATGTTCGTTCATTTAATAAATAAACGAACATAAACAATATTTTTTGTTCATGTTCGTTCATTAAGGAATATAGTTTGTTCATGTTCGTTCATTTAATAAATAAACGAACATAAACAAACGAACATGAACGAACACAAACGAACGAACATAAACGAAAACAAACGAACGAACATAAACGAACAACACAAACAAAAAAAAACTTATTCGAACACAACAAACGAATGTAAAAAAAAAAGTAAATAACAAGAATAACAACTTAAATTTTCATTAATATAGCCTGTAACTTTAGAGTTAATTTGTTCGAATATGACAAAACATACATAAATCATAAATAAGCTATATGAATATAATAAAGTCTTAAAGTTAATTTGTTCAACAAAACAATCTTCTTGAAATCCAAACAACTTCAATAATCTTCGTAACATATTCAACTTGCCCTCTGTTCGAACATAAATGAACATAAATGAACGAACATATAATCGAACGTTCACGAACATAAATGAACGAACGAGCCCTTTGTTCATGCTCGTTCATTTAATTAAACAAACGCAAAATTTTGTTCATGTTCGTTCATTTAATAAATAAACGAACATAAACGAACTTCCCGCCGCACGATTCACGAACGGTTCGCTGAACGTTCAGTTCATTTACATGCCTAAAAGCCACATCATGGTATGGGCAGTTTTTGTACGCTTCTGGGGGAAAACAGTCATATAAATAAATATATGAAATAAAATCTAACTACATAGCGTAATTATTTTAGTTTTATCAATCAAAATTTAAATAATAATGTTATGACCAATTACTTGACATTCTTAATAATTCATCACTTAACTATACGGATCATTGGTGGATCTAAGTGTTCTTCAGAGAGACAAATTGCTAATTGTTTATTTTAATAGTGATGTCTACTCGTAAATTTTATTTGTGCTCATTCCATACAATTTTTTGTTATTGATATATAGATTTATCTTCATAAATATTTCTAGATCCATAATTGTATGCGATCAAATTATCTATTTACTTATGATTCAGTAATAACAACATTACATATGACATTTTAAGATTAGGATGACCAATATGTATATGATTGGGACTTTGATTATATGACCAAATAACCTTCTTACACATCCTCCTCTCTAATTCTGGCCGCACATATTCGAAATGATTTTAAATTTTAAACTCTAAATTTTAAATCTAAAACATATAATAGTAAATCTCATATTCTAAATAAAAGATGACAACAATATAACCTCGTTTATAAAGTATTTTTCCCCACACTGAGTATAGATAATAATCCTTGTTATACAGTAAACATTATAATAAATTAATGGAAACAAATGAAATATCTTGGCTTGAATTATGAAGGATGTGCCCAAATAAAACTTTAAAGTGAGTATAATCAGTAAAATAAATTAATAATTTGAAAAAAATTTAAATTACTTGTACACCCTAATATAGGCGTGGATCTATCACAAATGGGTATATTTTTATTAGTTTATGGTGATTATAATGTATTATATGTTCGAAAGATTTAATCATTTAACAATGAATATTCAATAATTTTATAGACGTTAAGCTCAAACTTAAAATTTTAAAAATAACGAACATCTTTTATATAACTATTAAAATCATTTTATTCGTGATAAATATTACTATTTTAATCCATGATTGATATCTTATCTTTTTAGCACTGTGGAAGTGTATCAATTGGGACTGTGTGGGAGGAATTCATGAGGCTAAGGACCCCACTCATCACGTGGAGAGGGATTACCCTAATGCCAAAACCCTACAGAAACAAGAGCAATGGTCATTTACAAAATCTCCCCTAATCCTTTCTTAACCAATTATCGTCTATCTCCCACGTGGGATTCCGGGGCCCCACTTTCCAAAAATTTCCCTATATATTATATTCTTCCCTTCCCCTACACCCATTGCACCACCAATCATGGCGGATTCTTCAACGTCATACATACATATGGTGACTGCCTTCTTCTCTTATGATTTCATGTCATTAGCCTTATGTGTATGTATGTATGAATGTATGTGATGTTGTTATTGAACAGGTGCATCATCTGATAGAAAAGTGTTTGATCTTCAACATGACGAAAGAAGAGTGCATGGAAGCGCTATCAAAGCATGCAAACATCAAACCTGTCATCACTTCCACCGGTAAAAAAAAACTGTGCTTCTGGTTTGAATTCGTTGCTTATATGTTTGTATGGAGTAATGGAATTAATTCGAAACAAACCCTAATGATCAATCTATTGACCCAAGAACTCCGATCAATCCCAAATTAAAGTAGGGTGTCATAGTCTTCTATGAAAGAAATTGTAAATACTAAGATTCGAATTTAAGCGTATTGTATGTCATCTATTTAATAGTGACTATACGAACCAAGTAGTTTCATTTTACCTTCAACGAATGTTGTGATCACCTCAAACAATCTTTGATCCATTCAAATCAAAAGTGGATATATGATATTTGAATTCAGACATACTTGATGTCTCTAAAAGTGATTTTATAAACCGAGTAAATTAAATCTCGGATTTTATTTTACCATGATCAGGATTCGAGTTTATATTTTTATATGTTTAATCATGTTGAACAGTCTGGAATGAGCTTGAAAAGGAAAACAAGGAGTTCTTTGAAGCCTATGCACAATCTCAAAGAAAAGAAGACCGAATGTCCGAGGAAGAGACAAGTCAAATGATCCAGAAGATGATGTCGGATTCCTCTAATAAGAACCCCGATGAATAATATCGATCCAATCTAAATTTTAAATAACGACCACAAAATTAACTGCAATAACATTTTATTTTATATGATTCAACCGAAATATATATATTTCAATCATAACTTAAATCTCATTAAAAAAAATCAAAAATCATTGTCCATTTAGTCCTTTTAGACCATCTTTAGAGGAGGTTGTGGTCTTATTACACATATTGTATACGACGGAAGTTCGTGGAGTATTTTATTTTATTTACAATTTAGTCCTCCTTTTTCGAATAAAATCTAAGCTACCCTATTTGGATAACCGACTACAGTGGGCCACATGAACGCCCTCATAACCAGGAGTGCTTATCGAGCGAGTCGATCGCGAGTTGGGTAGTACTCAATTCATGCTTGTTAAAAAAATTTGTTCATCGACTCGACTCTTTGCTCGTTAAGCTCACTAAAATTTTGCTCGACTTGTGATTGTTAATAAAACTTGTTGTTTAACTCGACTCGTTGCTTATTAAACTTACTAAAATTTTTACCTTGTTTTTTAACTATATGTAAAATCTACTATATAGTTTAATATAAACATAAATTAACAAATTTAACTAAAAAACTATCAAAGAGTGTATAAAGCAATTTCAAAGTCTAAACTCCAAAGTAAAAATCCACAAATACACCGACTAACTTATTAAAATTGAGGTAACAAACCACAAATACATCCAATTAACATATTAAAAATATTCTTGAGAAGAAAAAGAAGTTCAACGATACATAATGAGTACTAAAAATATGGAAATAAACATCTCTTCACTCTATTCATTGTTGCTTGCAATCACCAAACTATTAAAAATATATAAAAAAGTTAATGTGATGCTCGTGAACTTATCGAGTCGAGTTGAAATTTGCTCAACTTAACTCATTAATATCTAGAATCGAGTTCAAGTTTGAGTTGAATCAATCTGAGTCGAGCTTTGACTGGGTTTTAACCGAATCGAGTTTGAGCAACTCCACTCATTAAGCATCCCTACTCATAACGAGATTCCGAGGAAAAAGTGAAAAAGGGTATTCTTGTAATTTTAATTTAATCATGTATTATATTTTATATATACGTAAATGATTTATTTATTTATTGATAAATATAGAGTGAATACAATGTAATATTTGTTCAAAGATTTTTATTCATTATTTGACAATTAATGCTCATACCTCTGCATACGGTATTCAAATTCGATACCTCAAATGATAACAACAAATCTTTTAACCATTGATGTCACTTGATTCGTAAATGAAGTTTATTAGATTGTATCTATGTTTTTGTTGTCTGTAAACTGAAGGGGATAGTTATGGCTCTTGTGGCAACATCCGAAAATCTAAGTCATTCTTTGTCTTAACTTTATAAAACTAAGCTCCTAATGTTAAGCCCTCTCTAAGCCATTCTTCACCAATTTATCCAATCAGATAATGATACATATCAACATCTGATTGGAGGAAAAATTTATTGAATTAAATTTCAACTAAGATCAATTTGATAGAATATATAAATAATTAGGACCAAAATAATAGAAAATGTAAGTAATTAGGAGCAAATGTGTAATTTTACTATTTTTATTAACTATCAAGTCAATTCATCTCTTAAATGTTAAGACATTTATCTTGATTAAATCATTTGAATAATTAAGTGATTTGATTGAAAAAAAAATAAAAAGATCAGCCAACATCTGGCTAAGATAGGACGGCCTTTGGAAGTAACAGATTGGGAAAAGAACCAAATTAAAATCTCACCCATAGTTAAATGACCGTCCATATAGTTTACCCTTCCATCCCGTGTTTCAAATGTGTATTAAATGTAATACCCATCGGGAAGTCTAAGATGTTCTTGCCTTGTTTTTTATTGGCTGCACAGTCTGAACAGCTACAAAGTCTACCTTTCTAACTATTTACTCGATTTATTTAATTAAAATAAGGGTAAAGTACATTACATGGTCCCCCAACTATAGAGTACTTTTTTGTTGAGTCTCATAATTATTAAAAGTTATAAAATAATCTCCCGACCATAGGACGTTGTTTTGTTGAGTTCCCCAACTATTAAAAGTTACAAAATGATCACTCGGCTATTCATATGTTTCAAATTTGTTCATTTTCATAAAAAATAGTGGTCGTCTAAACTAGACGTTAACCTATTGACTAAGATATGATAATTTGTAGATCGACTCTCCATTTACATTATATCATCGATCCATTGCTTGAAACATTATGACGTCGGGCCAATGTATGAAAGTAACTATGATGCTAGTAGACATTATATCTCAATCAAAAGGTTAACGTCCAACTTAAATGATCATCAAATTTTTAACGAAAAATGACGAATTTAGACATATGAATAGTCAAGTAATCATTTTGTAGTTTTTAATAGTCAAAGGACTTAACAAAGCAGCATCCTATAATCGAGGGGATAATTTGTATACTTTACCCTAAAAATAAATAGAAAAAAAATATAATTTATATATATAATGGATGAGTATAATATAGAAATATATTTAACTTTTAAAAATTTATTCCTACTAAGTGGATAAATAAATATCTTTTCATGTAAAATATATATTTATTAAAAATATTTTTTAAATAAAGCAGTAAAAGTTTTATATATAGATTTATTTTAAAATCAGGAAAAATTTAATAATCTAAATATTGTATAAAAATATTTCATTATTTATGTAAATATCATCCAAAAACTACAAAAAAAAAATTAATGCATATACCCTACACGGAAAACCCTAACAAGGTACTAAAACCAGCAAAGCATAGGGTGCAGTGTGTCATGTAATTCGGTAAAAGTAATTTTAGAAAATCATATTCATGTATTTTGTTTTGAAGCACTCCATATTTACATGAATTTTGAAATATTTTTTAATATTATAAATAAAAGGGATATTAAATACAATATATTAATACCCACCGGAAAACCAACTTTGGTATTGTCAAAGGCATCTTATTGGCTGACAGCAAGTCTACCTTTCTAATTAATTAGCCGATTTTTGGTTTTTACGTGAAAAACAGCTCAACATCCTTTACTGAATTTATTAGATTTCAGTTTTTAGTTGAGCATGTAATTCAATGTATCGGTCTTTATTGGTGATTTTATACGGTATCTATATTTGACTCGAATTTAAAATATTTTGATTTGATTTAATGTTACAAAATTATTTTTTAAAATAAATTTGAATCGGGTCAGATCTTATATTTTAAAAGATAACATTGAATCGATTCGATTTTATAGTGGAACATACCATGCTCAATAATAATATATTTAGGGATAATGTTTTCTTTAATTATGTCTTTATCTTTCTTAATAAAAATGAACATTTTATATATTATGTATGTCAAGTTAGGTCGAGTGTCTATTTTTACCTTAATAGTCGTGTAGAATTTCTATTTGATTAGAGTTTCCTTAAAATCCGGGTCAGGTTGGATGATGAGTTCAGAGATGTTATACTCGAATAGATTGGAGTGGGCCGAAAACTGACTTAACTCATCACCTTTTCTAATCTTAAATTGAGATTAAATAATTTAAATTTGATTTTAACTATAAATTTTATGTGTTTTAACTTTTAATCGATGTAACGGTACATTTCGATTAATATCAATTTATACAGAATAATACAAGATTTTAATATTTTACTATTTAACTAAGGGTCCAACATCTCTTGTAAACAAATTTAAATTGTCGTTTTTATTTGAATTAAGAATATATATATATTAAATGGAAAAAATATATATTAAGTCCAATTAGATATGAGTATTTATTTGACTTAAACTTGATAGATTACGATCCAATCTTATAGGTTGGATTTTTTTTATTTTAAAAATTCATATTCGATTGGATCAGGTCAGGAATTTTTGAACGATAAGTCAGATTCGAGTTTAGAGTGAAAAATATTCGATCTAAGTCGGCCCAAGAATAATAGCATAATTAACCCTGTATATATCTATAGATAATTACTGTTATACCCATATATATATATATTAATTTGGACCTTATTATATATAATAAAATGAGAATTTATATATATATATTTGTATCGAGTTAGATATATATTTTTATCTTAAAAATTAAATTAGATTTTAGACAAATAAAACTTCTCTAACTCCAATTCAAATCAAATGACGAATAAAGATATATTATACTCCAATAAAATTTAAATGGTCTAAAATTTCGACCAAACTAACACATAACCATCTTTAAACCTAACCCTAATATCAGTAAATTTTGATAATAAAATCTTTACATTTTTCTGTTAATAATCGAATTTAATGTAAATATTGAATAAAAAATTAAATATCTTATCGAAGACATGATTCATACGACTTTAACCGTTCGAGCCGGACGATAATCACAATTATGAAAGGACAATGAAGTTGACAGAATTTAAAGCTGTCTCACAGTAAGAAAAGAAAAGAAAAGAAAAGAAATCAAAACTTCCATTTTCTTTCCATCCAAACACCCATTTTCCAATTGTTTACTAATTCCCATGTGCTAGAATCTTAATGCAACCACCATCTTCCTACCATACTAAATGCTCAACACCATTCCCATCTACAAGTTGCTGACCATCATTTTCAAACCCTTTTAAATGTCTGTCCTCCGTGCATAAATATAGCAATGTCAGCAAGGTTTAATACCCTGTTTGGTACTTACAATTTTCATTATCATAAATATAGCCCTCGTATTTTTGTGAATACATTTGATACTTGAATTGGATAATTTTAAGCATAATGCCAAATGTTCAAAGGTTGTAATGTTAGATAAAATAGTTACTTTGATCTCTATTATTTTTTTCTTGAAGCACTTTAGTCACTGAGTGACGAGTTTTATGTGTCAAAAGTGATGACGTGACACTTGTCATGTGTTCAAGTGATGACATGACACATACCACATGTTTAAAGGGATGACATGACACTTGTACACGTAAGTGATGACATAATACATGTCATGTCATCACATTAGACACATAAGACTTGTAACGTTAGTGACAAGCGTTAATCATTAATCAACTAATGGTTTGCATCTAACCAGGAGACATTTTACCCTTAAAATAAAATGTTACGTACCAAAGTATTGAAGAAAGAATAGATACAAAAATAATTAATTTTTTAAACATTAAAGATGATTCTTTTTAAATAGTATGGCTGATTAGAAAATAATATTTGTTCATAATCTTTCTCAGTCCTTGAAAAGGCACACACTTACAGACACAACTATTCGAACCTTAAGCTACTTGGAAAAACAACACTCTTAGGCGTACGATAGCTCGTTTCCTCTGGTTTCTCAGGCGTACGTTAGCGGGTCTAACGGATCTGAGAACCCGGGCGTCTCCGGTGACTTCTCTTGTTTCTTTCAGATTCCTTCTTTTCTCTGTGCTATTCCTCTTCATTTTATGGACTGGAGGAAGCTTTTCGGCTGTCAATCTGGACAAGAGCTCCAATATTTCCCACCGAATGCTCGCGACTCAACCATCGTCCAACCACCAAAAGAAATATACGATGCTGGAATTGCCGAGTGGAATTCATCCTTGGTGGGTCAATTCCTGGGTGCCGCTCCCAATTTTCTAACAATGCAAAAAATGGTGGAAAGCTTGTGGAATAACCAGTCTAAAGGTGTTCGCGTCCAGGTAAGCTTCGCTGGAAGCAATCTTTACATTTTTTCTTTCAACAATGATTCTGCGAGGGATTGGGTACTGCAAAATGGGCCATGGCATATACTTAATAAACCTTTAATTCTAAGGAAATGGGAGCCTAATTCTAAACGTCTTCATTTTGATCTTTCAAAAATCCCTCTGTGGGTTCATCTCTTCAATGTTCCTCTCGAACTGTTTTCGAGAGAGAGCCTTAGCTATATAGCAAGTGCCATTGATAACCCTCTAACCATGGACTCAGTTACTGCCTCAAAATCTAGGTTAGAATTTGCCAAAATCTGTGTAGAGATTGGAGTGAAGGATGTTATTCCTAAAACTATTGAAGTTATCCTTGCTAACGGGCAATCAACTACTGTATATGTTGAAGTTCCTTGGCTTCCTTATAGTTGCTTAAAATGTAACAAATTTGGTCATTCTGAGAAAGCTTGCTTAGTTTCTAAAGACCCAGCTCCTGTTAACCAACAAATCTGGAGGAAAAAAACGACTCTATTCCTGTTGTGCAATCTACCTCAGTTTCTCTTTCTCCTGGCTCCAAAGAAAAAAACGAGATTCCTTTCAAAGATAAAGAACTTTCTAATGATACAGTAAGCACCTCATTGCCTACTTTTGATCTTGCTGCTAAAGTTGATTATCATGTTTCTGTTCCTGTTTCTAATGAGACCAGCAGTACTTCACTTTCTGATACTGCTGCAAAAGATAATCATTCTTCCTCTTCTCCTGTTACAAATGAAGTTTGCAATACTTCATTAATTGCTTTGTCTCTAAATGTCAATACTGAAGCTAACCCGTCTGCTTTTAATGAGCCTCTTCATCTCTCTAACGAGGATGGAAATAATCCGAAAATTTCACTACATCAAATCAACTCCTCGGAAGAACAAAATACCTCCCCTTCTGGAAATGCTACCAAAGTCTCTAATGTCCCAAAAAGAGGAAGGGGTCGTCCACAAAAAACAAATAACAAGGCTTCATTAAAAGGATCTTCAAACAGATTCGAGGTCTTAAATTCTGTAGGTGATTCCTCCCCCTCCTTAGAGATTCACGGGAAAAAACCAAGGTCTGCTGCTCTGGGAGTGGCTCTGTTAATAAAAGATCTCAAATCTAAAAAGAAAGAGCATCTTGACAAGTCAAAATGTGTCTCTGACAAAGTAATTGGGGGTGAATTAACATCTTCTTCTCAATGATTTTCTGCTTCTGGAACGTCAGAGGATTGAACAATCCTCTTAAACAAAATAAGGTTCTTAATAGGGCCACTCTCTTGAAAGTTGATATCCTTTGTTTATTAGAGACCAGAGTAAAACCAGAAAAATTTGAAGATATTCTAAGCCTCAAATTCAGCTCTTGGAATTGCTTCACTAATTATGACTTTGCTACTAATGGTAGGATTTGGTTTATATGGAAAAAAGGCTTGGATTTATCCCTTTATCAGTCTACTGCTCAGAGCATCACTGTTAGAGTACTTAGAAATGGGATACCTTTTTTTTTATCTCTGCCATATATGGCAACAATGATGGAACTCAAAGAAAACAACTATGGCATCACTTAAAAGACCTTGATTCTAGTATTGGTTCATCCCCTCGGATCCTAGGGGGTGACTTTAATATTTTTCTTCACTCTGTTGAAAGCTCTGACCATGACATCCTGGGTCATTTTACTACTAATGAAATGAAAGACTTCCAAGACACAATTCATGACCTCCTTCTTCAGGATCACCCATTTTTTGGACCAACATTCACATGGAGTAATAAACAGAAGGATGATTTTCTTGCTAGGAAATTAGACAGAGTTCTTGTTAACTCTTCTTGGGTCAATTCCTTTCTTAATTCCTTTGTGGAATTCCTTGCTCGAGGACCCTATGACCATTGTTTGGCTATTTGTTGGCTAAATAAAGACTCCCATACTAATCGGCCCAAACCTTTCAAATTTTTTAACTTCTGGACCAAGAACCCTAATTTCCTTACTGAGATCAAAAAATCCTGGCAGCTTCCAACACAAGGAAATCCTATGTTGCCTCTCTTCCTCAAACTAAAGAATCTTAAGACTTGCTTGAGGAATCTAAACAAGGCCTGCTACAACAATATTGCGGATAGGGTAAAGCTTAAGAAAATGGAACTTGAACAAATTCAGCTCTCTACCCTTAACCGAACGTCTTCTATTGATGTTGAGCTTAATATTCAAAGTGAGCTATCCTCTCTTGAGCAGGCTGAAAAACTCTTCTTAAAACAGAAGGCAAAAATGCAATGGCTCAAGGAGGGTGACAAATGCTCTAAGTTTTTTCACTCTGTCACCGCCTCTAAGAACAAGAGAGAAACCATTAGAGTTCTTGTGAATGATCATGGCAGAAAACTAGAAGATTTTGATGACATGGCATCTGTTTCCCTTCAATATGTCCCCTGAGGCTTCAGCAGAAATGGGCAAAAATATCACTGACGAGGAGATTATGGATGCTTTCTTCAGTCAAGGAAATGATAAAGCTCCTGGCCCGGATGGTTTTACTCATTTCTTCTTTAAATCTACTTGGTCAGTGGTTGGCGAAGATGTGACTAAAGCTGTAAAATACTTCTTTCAGAACTCTTTCATTTTACCAGCCTTCAATTCTACAATTATTGCTCTGGTTCCCAAAATGACAAATCCTAGCAAGGTTAAAGATTACAGACCCATCTCCTGTTGCTCTGTGGTCTATAAGGCTATTACTAAGATCATTGTTCAAAGGCTGAAAATCATTCTTCCTAACATAATCATTTCTCCAAGGAATCTAGAAATCATCAAGAACTCTACTGGTTTTAAAATCGGTCTTTTACTAGTAAGATATATTGGGGTTCCTCTTGTTTCTAGGAAACTCTCTGTTAAGGATTGTTCTCCCATGATTGATAAGATCAGATCCATGATTCATCAATGGTCTGGGAGGCATTTAAGCTATGCTGGAAGGCTTGAACTCATTAAAAATGTCTTACAAAACATTGCAAATTTCTGGTGTCGACAGTTCCTGCTTCCCCAAACTGTTATTAATAGAATTAACCAAATATGCTCGAGATACTTGTAGAGAGGATCTGACACTTCAGCCTCAGGAGCAAAGGTAAGTTGGGGTAATTTATGCAAACCAAAGTCTGAAGGAGGGCTAGGCTTAAAGGACTTAAAATCCTGGAACACGGTCTGCATGATTTTGCTTATTCGAAACCTTCTAGCTGGTCAAGGTTCCTTATGGATTGCTTGGACCCATGCTTATGTAATTAAATCTAATGATTTTTGTCATATGTCAACGAGTGCTTCTTCTAGCTACATCTTCAAAAAACTGTTGAAACTGAGAACCGTGGCCTTACCTATTCTTAATGCTGGAATTTTGAATGCTAAAGGGATTTGGGAAGAAGTTCAAATCAAGCATGAAAAAGTCCAGTGGCAAAAGCTAATTTGGTTTCCACTTCACATTCCCAAATTCAGTTTTATTGCTTGGTTAGCCATCCTTGATCGGCTCCCTACTCGGGAAAGACTCTTACGAATGGGTCTCGTCACTAATGGTCAATGTATTCTTTGTAATAACGCTCTTGAAACAAGAGACCATTTATTTGCAGACTGTTATATGGTTAAATCTCTATGGAACGGTATCTTGGATCTCACCCTTAGGTCCAAACCTCAAATGTCTTGGGATATAAAATTGGTTTGGGCTTACTCAACTTGGAAAGGTAAATCTCTCTTAACCTCAATTATAAAGATTGCATGGACTGCTTTTATTTACATGGTCTGGGAGGAGAGAAACAGACGCATATTCCAGGGAAAAAATCGAACTATGGAAGACATGCTTGACTCTATCAAAGATATTGTTGGTGCCCAACTCAGAAACAGAGATATCAATAGGCTAGACAATGTAAATATGCTTCTTTGTAACAAATGGAATATAGGTTAACATCTGTTGTATAGTGGTCTTTGACCATTTTTTGGATTTTGTATGAACTCTTTCTGGTTATAATGCTTACTTATCCAAAAAAAAAACAACACTCTTATATCACTGAGATCACTCGATGAATTCAAAATTAAAAATGAATTTTATCAATATATCATAATTGTAATATATATTTCTTATTAAAATATCACGTCACATATTGAAATTATCAAATTCAGGTGTCAATGTGCAACTTTTAATAAATATTGATAACACATTTGTTCAGTTTCTTTCAAGAAAAAAGATATATCCCAAAAAGGTTGGTTTTGTTAAGTATAAATAGAGGCCAAAGTCTCCAATATCAATGCCAACAAAAAGAAAGAGAAAGAAAATCTCCCAAAAAACTTAAATTTTCTTTCTCATTTCTCACTTCATCAATGGATCTTTTCATGGCGATATCTTTGTTATCATTTCTTTGCTTCATCTTCTTCATTTGTAAGCCATTTTTACACAAGAGGAACCAGTGCTGTTACCTTATAGGGTACGAGTGTTACAAAGCACCCGACGACATGAAACTCGACACCGAAACCTGCGGGAAACTCATTTTCAGGAACAAAAACCTGGGTTTAAACGAGTACAAGTTTCTGCTTCAAGCAATGGTGAATGCCGGCATCGGTGAAGAAACATACGGTCCAAGAAACGTCATCGACGGCACCGAAGAAACCCCGAAGCTCTCCAATTCGCTTTCGGAGATCGACGATATTGTTTTTGGTACTCTCGATAAACTCTTCGCTAACACTGGTGTTTCACCGTCAGAAATCGATGTCCTTGTGGTTACTATCTCGATGATTTCTTCGGTTCCATCGTTGCCGGCACGGGTTATCAATCGGTACAAGATGAGGGAAGATGTTAAAGTGTTTAATCTATCCGGAATGGGGTGCAGTGCAAGTGTTATTGCGGTTGATCTCGTTCATCATTTGTTTAAAACATACATGAATTCATTTGCAGTCATTGTTAGCTCGGAATCTTTGAACCCTAATTGGTATTGCGGCAAAGAAAGATCGATGATGCTCCCGAATATATTGTTCCGGTTGGGGGGATGTTCGTTGTTGTTGACGAACAAAACATCGATGAAACATAAAGCTTTGATGAAATTGAAGCTCTCGGTTCGATTCCACGGCGGATCGAGCGACGAAGCCTATGAAAGTTGCACCCGAATCGAAGATTCCGAGGGTTACTGTGGTTTTTTCCTTACTAAAACCTTGCCGAAAGCTGCCGCGAAAGCCGTAACGATGAATCTTCGGGTTCTAGTCCCGAAGATGTTACCGCTACGTGAACTTTTTCGCTACGCGATCGTCTCGTTCGTGTATTCTAAATATAATCACAAGGGGAAATCCCCAACATTGAACATGAAATCAGGATTCCAACACTTTTGTGTACACCCCGGTGGAAGGGCGGTGATCGATGGAATGGGACGGAGTTTGGGGCTAAACGAATACGATCTCGAACCGACTCGGATGGCGCTTCATCGGTTCGGGAACACATCGGCGGCCGGGATATGGTACGTTTTGAGTTACATGGAAGCTAAGAAAAGGCTTAAGAAAGGTGATAGGGTTTTGATGATAAGTCTTGGAGCTGGTTTTAAATGCAACAATTGTGTGTGGGAAGTGATGAAGGACGCCATGGATGATGTTAATGTGTGGGGAGATTGTATCAGTCGATATCCTCTGAAATCTACGGCCAATACTAAGTTCCTGGAGAAGTACAGATGGATCCATGAATCCGACCCGACTCTGAGCAAGAAATTCGAGAAAATCGAAAATCGATTCGAATCTTAATATTTATTTTCAGTCACCATTAATTATGTTACGTTGGATTTGATTATGTACCATATTGTGTACGACTATGATATTTTTGCCTCTTTCATGAAAGATATTTTTGCTTATTAATTATGAACTCCTTGTATTTTTTTTCAAATTTTTTATTAATTCATAATGTATTATTAGATTTTTTGTATAACTTTAAAATAAAATTAAAAGTACAATGATAGTCCTCCGACTATAGCATACTACATTGTTGAGTACCCGACTATTAAAAATTACAAAATTGTCACCCGACTATTTATTATTTTCCAAATTCATCTCATTAAAAAAGTAACGGTCGTCTAAGATCGACATTAACATGCTGCTGAGATATGATAGTAGTTTGAGATCATGAGATTATATTTTATCATATCTTATTTAGCAGGTTAATGTTCAACTCATATTATCGTTAAGAAAGGACGAGCTTGGAATATATAAATAGTCAGATGATCATTTTGTAGCTTTTAATAGTAAGTGGACTTAACAAAGCAACGTCTTATAGTCAAAAGATCATTTTGTAACTTTTAATAGTCAAAAAACTCAATAAAACAACGCTCTATAGTTAAGGACCATTTGTATATTTTATCCTAAAATTATTTAAATTTTTATATAATTAGTTTTTGAAATTCTATCAATTTAAAATCAATAAAATTAAGTCTCTACCTATTTTTTTTTCTAGTTCAAATATTTTTTAAAACCTATTAATTTCAAAACTAGTAAAAATTAAATTCTAACTTCCTTAATTTTTATGGTTTAATTACTTTTCAAGATCTTAATAATTTGAAAATTACACATTTTTCCTCGTAATATAATCCTGAGTCTATATGTTTTTTAACGTTATAAATCGTACTTAAGTTGTTTTTTATTTATATAATTTAGGGAAAATTAACTATTTATGTTATATTAATCGTTGTATGATTATATATATTCCTAACATGTTGGTATTTGTCTTTTCGGGTAAAGTACATAAATGATCCCCTGATTATATGGTGTTACTTTGTTGAGTCTCATAACTATTTAAAGTTACAAAATGGTCTTTTGACTATAGATAGATATTTTGTTAAGTCTTCGATTATTAAAAGTTACAAAATGGTCATCTGATTATTCATATGTTTCAAACTTATCATTTTCCGTTAAAATTTGACAGCAATCTGAATAAAACGTTACCTTACTGATTGAGATATGATAAAACCTAATTCTAGAACCGTTTGAACTGTATTTTGTGGATTGACTCTTCGTTTATATTATGTCATTGAGCTAGTGATTGAAACATTATTTTGTCGAGCCAGTGCTTGAAAGCGACGACGGTGCCAGTAGACATCATTAAAATAAAATTTTATGATATTTCAATCAACATGCTAACGTCCACCTCAAACTGTTGTTAATTTTTAATAAAAAAAATGGCGAGTTTTGAAACATATGAATAATCATGTGACTATTTTGTAACTTTTAACTCTCGGAGGACTTAACAAAATATCATCCTATAATCGATAATAATTTTATAACTTTTAATAATCGTGAAACTTAACAAAACAACGTTTTGTAATCAGAGGACAATTTGTATACTTTATTCTTATTTTTTTTATGTTATATATATATATATATTGAAGATATTGCTTTATAAAGTAATATATGTTTTCGATATTAAATTTTGTTAAACTCACATACATTTATAAATACAATTATTTAAATTTAAATCATTTTAATAAAATAATATTCCTTTAATACAAAAATTGATCGATAAATTTAATTTCGATTATTAATTGAATCTTGAAGGTCTAATTCTTATCCCACATTTTGAAAAAAATGATTCTTTTTAGTGTCTTAGCCTTTAAGGAAAACTGCAGAAGAAGGTTCTGAAAACAGTTGGGTATACTCTCTTCAATTAATTCAACATAATTAATAATTAATGCTATAAGATATTTTTTTTACTATTTTGTATATAAAAAATAATTAATGTTCAACCAAAACTGCAACTAGAAATCTTACTAGCCAGCAAGGATAATAATTTTTTACTCTATTTTCCTTTCAACACATTAATAAGATATTAAATATTATTATCATATGATTATTAAAAATTACAAAATAGTCACATAAGTATTCATATGTTTCAAAATAGTTATTTTCTGTTAAAACATAGCGGTCGTTTGAGCTGGACGTTAACTTGTTCACTAGGATATGATAAAAATATAATCCATAACTATTTGAGTTGTATTTTTGTGGATTGAGTCTCTGTATACATTATATCGTCGAATCAGTGCTTAAAACATTATGTCATCGAGCAAGTGTTTGAAAGCAACGACAATGTCAATAGACATCATTAAAATGTGATTTTATCATATATGAATTAGAAGGTTAACGTGGAGCTCAAACAATAATCAATTTTTTAACGGAAAATGACGAGTTTGAAACATATGACTAGCCGGGTGATCATTTTGTAACTTTTAATTGTCGGTGACTCAACAAAGCACGAGGGGTGATTTTGTAACTTTTAATAGTCGGGGATTATTTGTGTGCTTTACCCTTATACAAATATAATTATTATCTTTAACAGGTGAATAGAATTATTTAATGAAAAAGAAAGTTGGTAAGAGCGATGATACTTTCCTTCATCTTCATTTTTAGCATGGAAGTCCATCAGTAGTAGACCAGATTTCCATTAATGACTAAAAGATATAATAAATTCCTCTGATTTATAATAAATCCTCGACATTAAAATCAACCAGCTACAGCTACCTCAATAACTTAGATTAGCTGTCTCCACTGCATTGAATTGATGCACCATTCACCTGAATTGATATATACAAATATTATATGAATATATATAAGATTAATTAAATATTAACCAAATTACATTTATTTACATAAAAAATTAACATCAAAATTAACTTTTTATTATTATTTACAAATGAGTTCGTTTTTACTTTGACACCGAATCCAAAAGGAGAAACCACAGCAGTATTCCCAGGCCCATGAGGAGCAGCAAAAGCGGTGGACCTGACCTCACTGACCCAGAGGAACAAAGCAAAGGCTTCTACTGACTAATACTCGACACATGCATGACTAATACTCGATTCCCGCTGGTTAAATGAAATATCAATTAGATTAATGAAACCCGAGTCTCTTCGCATTGGATTATTTGACACTTTGAAGAAATATTGGACTAAAATTCCAAGCAAGAGCTAGGAGATCATCGACAGAAATACCAGCACCACAGTTCATTGTATGAGCCATGCATGTCAGATGACAAGCTGCTTCTTGTCCACATAGACTTATTGGAGAGTAAGCTTAGTTTAATACGCCACATCAACATTTGTTACCCTAACAGTTAACTGTGAGTGATCATTTTGTTATAAATTGACGATGTTAGTGATTAATTCATTAGTTTTGAAACTTTAGTGAAAAAAATAAAAATTTATTCAAATATCAATGGTCATTTATGTAGTTTACCAAAAATAAAAAAACACTAAATAAATCAACTTGAATCAAATATTAAGGACAAGGGATAGACTGAGGAGGGCGGGTGGGGACAATCATCTACCTAAATTTCCAAATTCTTCAATAATTTATTTTTTTGTATATATTTTCTATTAATATTCTATTTTCACCCTTGAAATTTTATTAATTCATCCATAGAATTGATTTCTACGCCCTCCCTATTAAGCAACCGAATTCCACATATTAGAATCAGTTTGGTTAAAGTTTTATTTTTATTTTTTTAGAGCGTTAATTATAAATTAAATAAAAATAAATATTTGGGTAATTATAATATTTTTAATTTGTAAATTAGAATTTTAATAAAATAAATTCAAATAATAATAGAATATAAATTAAATAATATTTTTAAGGAAAATTCTAGAATGAATGTTATCTAATGATGTGTACCACTATTGTTATACACCGATATGTAATACTAATTTTTTATATATTATAAATTTTGAGGTATTTAAAGTGTAATTAACCCTTTCAAGATAAGAAAGAATAGATAAGAAAATGGGACGGCAGTTAAAATCACACCCTAATTAAAATTCTATCTTGAAAAGGGTTAACTCCAATTTAAATCCCTCAAAATTTTAAAATATATAAAAACAAAAGTAATACACTCATCCACATTTTTAAAGGTAAACTATATGAATGATTCCTTACATTTTCGGTCTGTCTAATTTTGGTCATAAATTTTAAAAAGATAAAATAACCTCAGTGACCAAAAATGCCTTATAATATACGATTTTAACCAACTTTTTTTGAATTTGCCAAAATGACCAACTAAATCGCAATGCGATCGATAATTCGTAACGCGATCTCCGGTATCACAAATCAGTTTCCAGATTCGCAATGCGAATATCGACTATCGCAACGCGAACTTCGACTATCGCAATGCGATTTTCCAAATTCGTTGCGACAGTTCAAGTTCGCGTTGCGATTTATTCCAAATTCGTTGCGATAGTCCAAAATCGCAACGACTGGTGGTATTGCATTTGTTTCTTAAGAATTTTCTCTAAAAAAATAGTATTTCGACACGTATTACCACGACCACGAGACGAGACGGACGGCGGCGGCGCGCGAGAGTCCCCCTTGCTCACTATCACTAAACAAAGAAGTGAGAAAACCAAGCCTTAAATACCATTCCTAATAGTGTTTCCAATACTATGTGGGATTGAGCATTACCAACACTTAGTTCCCAATATTATGTGGGATTGAGCCTTAAATACTGATATTATTTGTGAATTATAGTTAATGACTTTAGTATTTGTATGAAAAAATATTTGTGGTTCGTTTAGTTTTCATGCAATTCTAATTTATTTTCAATTGATTGTAATTGCACGATAACAATTTTTTTTATTCTCGCGAGTGATGCAATTTTTTTTTGAATGTTTTGCTTAAAATTGCAATAATCGAGATTGATTGTAGATTGACTTTTAATTATGACATATTTAATCGTATAATACTAATGTAATTGGTTGCTGATTCAGTTGTTTTAAGGTGCATGGTTGTTAATTGTTTCCTGAATAATCACATAGTAATGGAAACAAGTGTTGGTAATGCTCAATCCCACATAGTATTGGAAACACTATTGGGAATGATATTTAAGGCTTGGCTTTCCCACTTCCTCGTTGAGCGATAGAGAACAAGGGGGACTCTCGCGCGCCGCCGTCGTCGTCTCGTCTCGTCGTGGTAATACGTGTCTTCGACACGTCCGCGCGAATACTATCTTTTTAGAGAAAATTCTTAAGAAACAAATGCAATACCACCAGTCGTTGCGATTTTGAACTATCGCAACGAATTTGGAATAAATCTCAACGTGAATTTGGACTATCGCAACAAATTTAGAATAAATCGCAACGCGAATTTGAAAAATCGTAACGCGAACTTGTAAATCGCAATGCGATAGTCGAAGTTCGCATTGCGAATCTGGAAACTGATTTGCGATACCGGAGATCACGTTACGAATTATCGATCGCATTGCGATTTAGTTGATCATTTTGGCAAATCTAAAAAAAGTTAGTTAAAATCATATATATTATAAGACATTTTTAGTCACTGAAATTATTTTCTCTTTTAAAAAAGGAATTTTGGTCTCTTGTATTATTGATCCGTTCGATTTTGATGCTTTGACCATTAACTCTCGTTAATCTATTAACGAAATTTGAGTTTATAATTAAAAAATAAAAAAAATAATTCTTTGAATTGTCAACTCAGACCGAGAACGTAAGAGAAAAAAATATTTTTTTAATAGCTGATTAAAGTTGGACAAATAAAATATTTAAGGGGTCATCCGTATAGCTTACCCAATTTTTAATGTTGATTATATTAGACACAGCAGTTTCCGAACACCTTCCTCCTTCCTTGACCATCCACTAACTTGTTCTTTGTTCTTCGTTCGTTTGTCCTTTTTTACATTTACTCTTTTTTTATTCTAAATAAATATTCCATCAGTTCTCCCCATTTTCTTCTCACCTTTTGCTTCTCTCTTCTTCAACCATGGCCTCATCTTCAATTCAAGAAGGTAACACTGTTGACTCTCCTTTGACCTATCTGTAAATTTTCAATGTCATTTCTCTTTTATTTATATACATATATTTTTTCATTCTTTTTTTAGGTGTAAAATTTGATCCTTTAACTTAAAGCTTCACTTTTTGATTGTGGGTTTTGATTCTTTCTTCAAAGTATTTTATGGGTTCTTTTAGAAAGAAAAATGCTAAATCGGCGTAGTTCAGCCGACTTGTCAGTTTCTTAATTGAATTTTTAGCTTAAATTTTAGTTTATATCTAGATCCATTGGAGCTTAGTTCTTAAGAAATATATTGGGGATTAGGGTTCTTTAATTTTGAATTTTGTGGTGGTTTTAGTTTGAAATTACGTTTTAAGATGAAGAAATTGGAAGTTGGCATCAATTTTTTTGTAGTTGATTCATTGATAAATACTGAAAAATCAAATAATCTATTATTTTTTGGTGATGGGGTTAAGGATTATGATAAATTTGTGATTAGTTTAATAATTATTATTGATTGTTGATTGTTAAGGTGGAGATATGGATCTGGAGAAAGGACTGGTGAGTCCACATCCGAGTCATAATTGCGGCATTGAAGCTTCGCCGGTACCATCACCTTCCTCAACTGCAACAATGACTCCTGCTTTGATCCTATCGAATTCCAGCAAGCGTATTGATAGGATGGGAAGTAGCCTCACCAGTTGCAGTTCTACTGTTACGGACCACTCAGCAACACCATCACCCTCATCTATAGCAACGGCCCCAGCATTGATCCTATCAAATTCTAACAAGCGGATTGACAGGATGTCCAGTAGCCTCACCAATTCCAGTTCTGGTACTGGAGAACCCTCAGCAACACCGTCACCATCGTCAGCAACAGCCCCTGCTCTGGTCCTATCGAATTCTGGCAAGCGCATTGATCAGGCTAGCAAAAAGAAATATGTGAAACAGGTAACCGGACGCCATAATGACACTGAGCTGCACTTGGCAGCACAGCGTGGTGATTTGGCAGCTGTGAAGCAGATTCTTGCCGATATTGATTCGCAGATGATGAAGACTGCAAGTGGTGAAGATTTTGATATGGAGGTCTCGGAAATACAGGCTAGTGTGGTTAACGAGGTAAATGAGTTGGGGGAGACTGCCTTGTTTACTGCTGCGGAGAAAGGACACCTTGATGTTGTCAAGGAGTTGCTAAAATACTCAAACAAAGAGACTGTTACTAAGAAGAATAAATCTGGGTTTGATCCGTTGCATATTGCTGCAAGCCAAGGGCACCATGGTAATGATCCTTAACTTTCATCTTGTGAGTTTGCTTGTGTTGTTATTTGATTTCAATTGTATAGTCGAGTTCTTGTGAATATGACATGTAGTAAAAGTACATGTTCAAGTCGATCTGGATGTCTGTTGAATAAGTTTGACATTTAAGCCATGTTTTATTCTCGGAAAACGTAGGAGGAAGGGAGAGAGTAAATTCTGAGCCAAAATGAAAAAATGGAATACTTTTACTAGGCCTCCTTTGACTTGTGTCATATATAAACTTGTTCCTTTCAGCAAGCTTTTTGTTTATGAAAAGATGTAGACTATTTGGGAACGAAATAGTTAAAAACATAGAGCTACATGAACAAATGCCTTTGTTATTAGTTTTTGTTTCTACAGGCCAGTTGTGGTATCGGTAATCCTATTTCAATTGAGTTCCGTGGATTCTAGGATGGAAATATGACCTGATCCATTCCTTGCAGGTATTGTCCAGGTGCTACTAGATCATGATCCTGGTCTATGCCAAACATTTGGGCCATCGAATGCAACCCCTCTTGTCTCAGCAGCTACCAAAGGGCATACGGCTGTAGTTAATGAGCTGCTATCGAGAGATGGTGGCTTGCTAGAGAGTACGAGATCAAACGGGAAAAATGCATTACATCTAGCTGCTCGACAGGGGCATGTAGATGTCGTGCAAACATTGTTGAGCAAAGATCCGCAGTTGGCGAGAAGAACTGACAAGAAAGGACAGACAGCATTGCACATGGCTGTTAAAGGGCAGAGCTGTGAGGTGGTGAAGTTGCTTCTCGAGGCAGATGCTGCTATTGTGATGCTCCCGGACAAGTTCGGGAACACCGCACTACATGTAGCCACTAGGAAAAAGAGAGCAGAGGTACGACAATTCTCTCACTTCATTATCAATTCTTGCTATATAGGTAGAAGCATGTCTCAATGATGTCGGAAACTGGTACTACTATGTTGATCCAACTTTATTTTTCTTGACGTACTTGTGTTCGAGTACATATTTGAACATGGTATGAGGATAGTGACATTCCTCACAATTTTTTTCGAAACAGTTTCATATTGATGAATCTTGCTATTTTCTTGCAGATTGTTGATGTGTTGTTGTCCCTTCCTGATATGAATGTCAATGCACTCACCAGAGACCATAAAACGGCTTTTGACATAGCTGAAGGGCTTCCACTCTCTGCAGAATCTGCAGAAATAAAGAGCTGCCTTTCTCGTAAAGGTGCTCTCAGAGCTAATGAACTGAATCAACCGAGGGATGAGTTGAGGCAGACGGTGACGCAAATTAAGAAAGATGTTCATACACAGCTCGAACAAACCAGAAGAACCAACAAAAATGTTCATAATATTTCGAAGGAACTTAGAAAACTCCACCGAGAAGGAATCAATAACGCCACGAATTCCGTGACTGTGGTAGCCGTTCTATTTGCAACGGTTGCTTTTGCAGCTATATTTACCGTGCCTGGAGGAGATCAAGATAGCGGGGTTGCGGTGGTGGTAAGCTCGAGTTCTTTCAAAATCTTCTTCATCTTCAATGCTATTGCCCTCTTCACCTCTTTGGCAGTTGTCGTCGTTCAAATTACTTTGGTCCGAGGTGAAACCAAAGCCGAGAAACAGGTGGTGGAAGTGATTAACAAGTTGATGTGGTTGGCCTCTGTCTGCACTTCAGTTGCCTTTATGGCCTCCTCGTATATAGTGGTGGGCCGGAAACATAAGTGGGCTGCAATTTTGGTTACCGTCGTAGGGGGTTTGATAATGGCAGGAGTTCTCGGCACCATGACTTACTATGTGGTGAAATCGAAGAGGACTAGAAGGAAGAGGGGAAAGAATTCAAGGAGAAGTGGATCCAACTCTTTGCTTCATTCCGACTTCACTAATTCGGAAGTCGAAGTCGATAGGATTTATGCCCTCTAATACGTGAATCTATAGCTTTCGAAAAAGAAAAAAGGAAGATGAATATTAGAAATGAGACCCGAAATGGCATATGCGGAAGATAAGATTAAATAAGGATAATAACTTTCGGCATCTGCACCACGTACACCCTACGTTCATGGCCACGGTTCGCAAGGTAAAAGCAGTTCGAATGAATGGTCTGAATCCTTTTGTTACATGTCCTTTGAGTTTGTTGAGTCCATATTCTAGTTCATTGGTGGTGAAGGCATGAGTTCCAGTCCAGAAGGTGATGTTCAAGCTACTGAGAGGCGATACATCATCAACGAGGCATCGTTTCACATGCATAAATTATCAGAGCTTGAATACTAGTCGAGATTTCCCGGAGCTAATTTTCATAAGCATTGCTTCGGTTCTCATCTGCGGATTTCATGCGATCAGCATTGTCGTAAATTAGCCCATTCCGTCGGACTCGAACCGGTCATGTTTTTAACTCCTCAATATTCAGTATGTATTGAATCCTTGGCCTTGAAATGTATGAATGACTAGCTTTTCCTGTGATTAAACTGTATTATTACTACAATTCATGTTTGTTTTGCTTTCGTTACAAATCTTTCCGTGTTCCGATAAATCGAATGAATATTGGATTTTAAGCATGTTTGGACTTTTTAATCGAAAAGGTTATATAATTTGTAATAATTTTGATTATAATTGAAAATATTACGGAGAAAATAATATTTTTAGTTCAGTCTAAAATATTATGCTTTTGATGTCATTTTTAATCTTATATTAACAAGTTGTATTTTAGAATTTTTGTTTAATTTAGTATCAAAATTTAAATTTTCAACTATTTAATGATGTGTCACGATTGTATCATGTCATTGCTTGGAAAGAAAAATATATCCTTAAAAATTATTAGACGATGATATGGGACAGCCTCCGAGAATTATATCATCAAAATGAAAAAGAAATTAAGTTTAAGGATTAATTTCGTAAAAATATCAAGTTCTAGGACCAATGTGGATGAAAATAAATTTACGGACCAAGTTAGAAAATATTATCAAATCTAGGGACTGAATGCTGCTTTGTCCCAGAATGTATAAACTGCAGTTCGATTCAGCCCAACCCTGATATTGCAAAATGAACTTGGAATTTATCGATGACCCAAAGCTAATATGAACGGTTATAAAATACGTTTTAAATAACTCAAAATTTTTAATAATTAATATTTAAGTTTAAATTGATTTTGATGAGTTATTTTTTATAATTTAAATTATATTTGATTTTTTGAATAGAATAGAATGAATTCATATTATTTGAGTTTTTATTTAGATTTAATTGTAAATATTTATAATGTTATAATATTAATTGATTCTATTTTAAATGATTTTATATATGACACATCTATATTATATATATATATATATATATATATATCGTGCATAATTGAAAGATTCGACTTGAACAATCCATTAATTATTAAAAAATTTGAGTTATTTAAATCTTATTTTATAACTCAATTTTTTTTAATTTTTGAGTAAATTCGAATTTATTAAAATATGATTTAAGTCATGTTGAACGACTAAAAAATTTTGTTTTTTGTTTTAGTAAAGTCGAGTTTTATATACTCATATGAACAGCTACCAAAACCACGTCGTGTTTGGGACATAAGGGTTACATTAATTTAGAATTTTTTCCCTTTAACCAAAAAAATGGAAATACCTGAGCCCGAGCGAGAGCGAGATAAAAGAGAGCCAAAACCCACACCGAAAATCCCTTACCTAAAGAAAACCTATGGACAAAGATAAACACGCATCCAAACGATCCCGAGACCGCGACGGCAGGCACCACCGTGACTCCGATCGTCACCACAACGACCGCGATTCTCATCGCCGGTCGGATCATAGATCTTCCACATCGCGCCGTGACGAGCGCGAGAGATCTTTCGAGAGGGAAGGTTCGAGAGATAGGAAACATCGTGAGGGTTCCTACGAGGAATTCGAAGCAAGGAAGAAGAGGAAAGAGAGGGAGGAGAGTGAGGAGAGAGGGGAGAAGAGGAGTAAACTGGGAGAAGAAAACAGAAAGGAAAAGAGAGAGAGGAGGAGATTTGGGGATAAGGCTAAAGAAGATGATGAAATCGAGTTATTCAATGGCGCCAGTGGTGGTGATCCAGTTCACAATGTGAGTCCTAGAATTCTTTTTTTGTCAGTTTTATCTTTGCGGCCGTTGTTTTTTATTGTTTGCTTGGCTGTTGGAAAATGAAAATGAAAGTGAAAATGAAATTTATTTCAAGAAGTAGTGAGTTGTGAAAAATCTAAAGCGTCTAAGACTAAGCTTGTTATAGTTTATAATTTAATATGGTTATGATGAAATAAAGAGGAAAATAGTAGAAAATAAGTAGCAAATATAACAATTTTGATTGGAAACTAACCTTATTGCTTTATTGTTAGTAATCTAATATATTTCCGTTGAAGCTTCTCTTGGATTTTAATTTATTGGGAATGCGTATTTTTCATAATGTTTCAGGATAGGAAGCTTAATCTTGTTGCATTGATTTCATGTTGTTTTCTGGGATTTAAATGGATATTGTCTATGCAATTTCACAATAAGTATTGTTGCAGTCAATTGCTGTAGATGTTTCTGTTAATTTCAGTAGTGGAGAGAGATCCAAAACTGAAAAACAGCTGCTGTAATGTCATGTTGTGGGCACTATATAAATGCACTGATTTGAACATCAAATTCCCTAGATATTCTGCAACTTTTTCAAATGACCATTCTCACTAGGAGTGGATTGTTGCATTATGATTTACATTCTGTTGAGTTAGTACTTTTTACGTACGATTTTAACCTTGTTTATCAGATTTTTTTCCTAGTTCTTTCTTTGGGCTGCTGGGTTCTTCAGTTTTTGTCTGCAGGAGTCATAGTTGTTACCTTCTTACATTTACTGCTAATTCAAGGCTTGTAGAAAATAAAAGTTCATAATATTATATATGATTTGATTCTTTGTTGCTTCAGTTCTACATTTTTCTTGAAGTATCTGTCTTGCACCATGTTTGATGCATTTCATATGATATGGAAATTGACCCGTTGGGTATATGAAAAAAATAGAAAATTTGAATATATTCATGACACATAATGCCAATGTCTGAGATTCACATCTGAGTACGAATAACCAAGCTTTGATGAACTTTCAAGGAACTGACGTGTCTTCTATTGTCCTGTGATTAATATGATATTTCACTTTTTTGACCATATAAACTAACTTAAGCATAACTAAGATATTAGCTATCATCACATGATAGTATGAGATTGAAATGTATAATAGTGCACAATATTATTTGAACTAAAATATAGGATGCATCTGATTCAATGGAGTTATGTTGATATCATGCTAATTTAAAATTGATCCAAAGTTCTACAATATTGATGTAATCATTAGTTTGTATGCTGATGTAATTTACTTTTTTCCATGTGTGAAGGATGCTGCTCAGGCATCATTACCGAAGACTGGTCACCCCCTTCCTACCAAGGTATCTTCGATTTCTACTGCTGAAAATAAAGCATATAGTGTTACCGGATCTCATGAGGTTACTGGATCTAGTACAGATGGCTCTTCATCTATTGGGAAAAGTGGTGCAAACTTCTCTCTTGATGCCTTAGCCAAAGCAAAAAAGGCTTTACAAATGCAGAAAGAATTAGCTGAGAAAATGAAGAAGATACCCATCGTAAGTTCATCTTTTTTTTTTGCAAAAGTAAAAAATTCCCCAGTTTTAATTTAAAAATATTAATGTTGCATTGGTATTGTCATGTGTAGTTGAATAGAGGCCCTAACTCAAGTTCAGTAGTGGCAACCGGAACAGTTCAGCGACCAGCCTCGTCTGTGACTACAGCCAATGCCACTGGACCATCAAGCTCATCAGCCGAACCTGCCACTGCACCGGTGGTTTCTTCAAAGCCACCCACTACTGGTGTGGCTGCTGTTCCGGGCCTTGCATCAATACCCAATTTAGAAGCTGTTAAACGTGCTCAAGAGCTGGCTGCTGAGATGGGATTCCGCCAGTTTGCTCCTCTAATAAACATGTTTCCTGGACAGGTGCAAGTAGATGTTCCAGTTGCTCAGAAACCTACTAAGGCACCTGTTCTACGAGTTGATGCACTCGGTAGGGAAATTGACGAACATGGTAATATAATAAACGTGACTAAACCAAGTAATCTTAGCACCCTCAAGGTTTGTGAAATTTGTACTCTTGGTGCAATCATTGTTATTTTATTATTTCAGTGCTATTTTTGTTGTTTTCAAGGCTATTATTTAACTCAAACCCTTTAATTTTTTAGGTCAACATTAACAAGCAAAAGAAAGATGCATTCCAGATACTTAAACCTGAGCTAGAGGTGGATCCGGAATCAAATCCACATTTTGATGAGCGGATGGGAATCAATAAGAATAAGCTTCTTAGACCAAAAAGGATGAGTTTTCAGTTCGTAGAGGAAGGAAAATGGTCAAAAGATGCGGAGATCATCAAATTGAAGGTATTATTGTGTTTTAATTTCTTTGATTCTTCCATTACTTGATTTTCTGGTTTTTGTGATTATTGTCTATTTATTACAGAGTCAATTTGGAGAAGCAAAAGCGAAAGAGCTTAAAGCAAAGCAAGCACAATTGGCAAAGGCAAAGGCGGATATAAATCCCAATTTAATTGAGGTGTCAGAAAGAATTATAACAAAAGAGAAACCAAAAGACCCGATTCCTGAAATAGAGTGGTGGTAAGTTGATATTCCTTTCATTATCGTATAACTTTAAGTTTACATACCTTTAATTAATTAAATTAACTAGGAGGTTTTGGTTGATTCAACATGTTGTCAAATTAGACTCGGAAAATGCATCAGCTGGGTATGTGAGGAAGATTTATTTATTGCTCTAAATTCTTAGTAATGGTTGTTTCTATTTACTTTCTGCTTAGGCTGTAAGTATTTTGCATATGCATTTCCTGTAAAAGAGTGTTTTGATACTATAACGTACATTAAGCAAAAGTTCAAAATTCGTCTTCTTGATTTTGTTATTAGTATTCAAACTGAGCAAGGCATGCAATGCTCTTCACCATGTGTAAAGGCAAAAAAACTTGCATTTATGTTCAGCATAATATGTCATTTCCATGTTAAAAAACTTAAAGGATGCATTACAGCCTATGTTACTTGGATTCCGGTATAAGTGTCGGGTATTGGTATGTTTATTTTTTTTTACATTTATTTAAGGGGTCCTTGGACCATATTTGCATATCTATGTCTGAGTATGTGTTTGACACAGGTTTTTATAGAACATTAAGAGTTAAAGCAACATAGATTACAAAGACTAGGTTATTTCATCCTTCTACATTTCATTTTCAGGGATTTGCCTCTTCTTGTCTCGGGTTCCTATGATGACATCGCTGATGGTGTGCTGAGTGTAGATAAACTGAAGGAGAAGAAGATCACGATTTATGTTGAGCATCCTCGCCCAATTGAGCCTCCTGCTGAGCCAGCTCCACCACCGCCTCAGCCCCTGAAGCTAACCAAGAAGGAGCAGAAGAAGCTTCGGACTCAGCGACGTTTGGCCCGGGAAAAGGATAAACAGGAGATGATTAGACAAGGCCTGATAGAACCCCCCAAACCAAAAGTTAAGTTGAGCAACTTAATGAAAGTTTTAGGCTCTGAAGCAACTCAAGATCCCACTAAACTTGAAATGGAAATCCGAAGTGCTGCTGCTGAGCGGGAACAGGCTCACGTAGACAGAAACATTGCTCGCAAGCTTACCCCTGCTGAACGCCGTGAAAAGAAAGAGAGAAAGCTTTTTGACGACCCGAATACAGTGGAAACAATCGTTTCAGTTTACCGGGTCAATGATCTCTCACATCCCAAGACCCGCTTCAAAGTTGATGTTAATGCCCAAGAAAACCGTTTGACTGGTTGTGCCGTGATCTCGGAGGGCATTAGTGTTGTAGTTGTGGAAGGCGGAAGCAAATCCATTAAGAGGTACGGGAAGCTTATGCTTCGGCGAATTAATTGGGCTGAAGCTGTAAATGAAACCGGTGATAGAGACGAAGATGACGACGAAGAGAAACCGCCTAACAAGTGTGTGTTAGTTTGGCAAGGCAGCGTTGCTAAATCAAGTTTCAACAGGTTCTCGGTTCACGAGTGCATCACCGAAGCAGCTGCGAGAAAGGTATTTTCTGATGCGGGCGTCGGCCATTACTGGGACCTTGTAGTTAATTTCTCCGAGAATGATTTTTGATTTCCTAAACAAGACTTAGGATGTTTTCTAATCTGAATTGTTGTTATTAAGAACTTCTTCATCGAAGCCCTTTTTTTCGATCACAGTTGTGAATTACTTCAAATTCTGTTTGTTGTATGGTCGGATTCAGACCGGATTTAAGGAACGCATTATAAATAGTTTTTTGTATGCTTGGCTTCAGCCTTCATTTGACCTGAAATATATGAATAAGAACTTGTCTAGATCTAGCCTTACATGTAACTAAACTGAAGTCTGCTGTTGTTGGAACTTGAATTTAAATTGAGATTTCTGTGCGGTTAGTAGGGTTGCACATTTGTCGGATTTCAATCCGATCCGGATCGGTTTTTATCCGATCCGGTTTTTTCCCATAGAAAAAAACCGATTTATAAAATAATCGATTCGGTTTCTAACCGGTTAGGAGGGCCGGATATCCTAACCGGTGTAACCGGTTTCGATTTAAAAAAAACCGGTTTTTTTAAAAAACCGGTTATAAAAAAATCGATTTTAATATTATTAAAATTACATCGTCATCAATTGCAACAAAGTTTACGATAATTTGTTGAAAACATTTTGATATTTCGATATAACAAATTAAGTTAAATGAATTTTAAGATTTTCCAAATGATTTTCTAAGTATATTCGATATAATTATTCAAATATCAAAACATTACTCCAAATATTTCAAAAATCATTTTTAATCCTTACTTAAGTGTAAAATTAAGTTTTAATCTTAAAACAATTTCAAAATAATCTTTCAAAGTATTTCGAACCATTTCAAAGCCAAAAATTCCAGATTGCTCATAGGGAACTGATTCCCCCCCAAGGGGGTACCGATTCCTCCCTAAATGGTTTGGCAACGAGATTTCCAGAATGCTCGGAGGGAACCGATTCCCCCCATAGGGGGTACCGATTTTCCCCTATTCAACGGTCGAAATATTTGAATTTTACACTTAGGGAACCGATTCCCTATGAGATGGAACCGATTCCCTATTAGAGGGTACCGATTCCCCCACGCTCCAAGCATTTTTATTAAATGTTTTCACACTTAAACGGCTATATTATCTTCATTAATTATCACTAACGTTCAGAAGTGATTCAAGGTGTATTTAAGCAAGCTTAGAAGCCATTGATCAAAGACAAGAAACATCAAGCAACTAGAATCAAGAGAGAATCAAAGAGAAAGCATCAAACCTCAAGTTCGATAAATTCAAATACTTAATTGAAATACTTAATTAACTCAACATAATTGAAATACTTAAATACTTCCAAATTTGATAAATTCAAATACTTAAAAACTTCCAAGTTCGATAAATTCAAATACTTAAAAACTTCAAGTTTGATAATTGAAACAAAGTTTACGATAATTGAAATAAAGTTTAAAAATAAACTACATTGCCATCTCTCTTCTTCATCATCTTCGCCTTCTTCGTTTGGAGGGGATATTTCAAGTTTGACTTCTTCAATGTGTAAGTTTGCTTCCAAATCGGCATCAATTGCATCTTCTAGGGTGGTGATATGTTGCTTACGAGCCGCTCCATCCAAATAATCCTTTAAACAAATGCATACTTCCACCGACTCGGGACTTAGTCTTGATCTCCGTTGCGATATAACCCTGCCACTAACAGAAAAGCGGATTCCGAAGCTACCGTAGAAGCTTGGACGGTTAGTAAATCACGGGTCATGGCGGCTAGAATCGGAAATTGTGCTTCCTTTTCTTTCCACCAAGGCAAAATATCCAAACTTTCAAACTCTTCAAATGTCATTTTTGATAGAAAATCGCATGACATGTAATTTCTCAACTCGCTACTTGGGATGGTAGTACGTGATCGTTTGGATTGAGAATTTACAAGAGTGTTAAAAAGATTCAAATTTATGTTACTTGGACGTCTACTAGATGATTCCACATTCATTCTCATTTGATCGTGTATTACACTACTTGATCCGTATTTAGTTAAATAAATTGCAAACATGTCGCGAAAACATTTGTTAAAATAATTTATTTGGTTTTGGACAAAGTTGGGTTCATCATCGGTTAGATTAAAAGCAAACGCAATTTGTTCAATTAGTGTTTCAACCCCACCAACATTTAACGTTGGGTTTAAAGCGGCGGCACAAGTAAAAATGAGGGGATCTCCTTAAAATATTTTAAAAGTTTTTCCTTCATTGCAAAGCCAATTTCTTGAAAAATTTCGGTTTCAAAGTCATTTAGTCGGGTAGCCAACAAAAAATATTTGATTAAGAACCAACGGGCTAGTAGGGTAATAAACACCAGATAAAAAAGTTGTTGCATTTTTAAAACCTCAAGCAAATCGGTTATTTTGGCTATAGTTTCCCAACTCGAATCCGGATAAATGTTTGGGACATGACCCTCTCGAAAAGCCGATCGTGAAATGTTTGCAATGTTTCCCTTTGCCTTAAGGCAGTATGCATCATCCAAGTTGAGTTCCAACGAGTTGGACAATCCAAATTAGGACCCAAGCTTTTTTGTTAACGGACTTACAAAATCGTTTATAATCATTAGTATTTTGTTGTTGTTACAAAGAACTGATTTTATCATTGTTTTAAATTCTAATCTAATCGGCTCAATAACCTCCAAACCGGCTTGCACGGATAAATTAATTATGTGTGCAACGCAACGGGTATGAAAAAACGCACCGTCTAAAATCGGTGAAAGTAATATTTTCAATATTGGAACCGCGTTTGTATTATTCGATGCATTATCAAAGGATATAGAAAAAACTTTATTTTTTAATTTATAAAGACAAATTATCCTTTTTAAAAGTGTAAATAAATTAGCACGGGTATGCGGCTCACCGAATAATTCAAACGCGATTGTTCTTTTCATCATTTGCCAATTATCTTGATCTAACCAATGTGACGTAACGGCTAAAAAAGAATTTCCGGTATTATGAGGGGAACTCCAAACGTCACATGTAAGCGACCACCATAACGATGTTCTTGGAATCCTAAATCATTTTTTTCCCTCACCGTATAACGTGGTTGCATTAGTTGTTGAATTGTTGTCGTGAAATCTTCATCATCAAAGTGGTCGAACGACAATGCTTTTGTAATCACGAACTTTGTAAACGCTTCTCGTAATTTTTCGTTGTCGTAAACAAAAACACCACCTTGCGGTGTAAGATTCGATTGACTAGGATCCGATCTTGAGCGAAGTGCCTTGCATGATTTTGTCAAATGGTTCTTCAACGTTGTGTTTCCTTCCGATGCAAGAAACTTTAGACAAAGTTTACAACGCGCCCTCCTCGAGCCATTTGACATCTCACATAAATCGTAGTGATCCCAAATATCTTTGTTTCGAGTGTGTTCGATCACTCTCACGACTTCAAGGTTTCCCCCGACGGAAGATTCAGCCGTGTTACTCATGATGAACAAAAAATTACAAAAATAAGATTTGAGAGATGTTTAAGTGTTGTGTAATAAGATTTGAGAAAGTTGTAATCAACCAAATACATCCCCAACCTATTTATACATGTTTAGGGTGGTAAAATGGTAATTTTTTAAAGAAAAAAATGGTCAAAAACGGTCACAAAACCCCTCCAACGGCTAGTTTTTTAAACCCAGACCGGTTTTTTTTTCCCGGATAAAAACTGGTTTTTTAATCGGTTTTTTTCAAACCGGTTTAGGTTTTTTTCTCCAAACCGGTTAAAATAACCGGTTTAAAAAAATCCGATCCGGTTAAAAAAAACCGGTTTTTCCCAAATCCGGTTTCGGATATTTTTTTCGCAAAATCGGATATTCGGATTTTTTGTGCACCCCTAGCGGTTAGTGTGCAATGTTTAAAAATTGATTTTTAGATTTTAAATATGCTTCGACGATATTGATAATTTGAGACTTAATTATAACGTTTTTGAAGTTTAGAGGCTAAGATTGAATCTGAATAATATATGTGTAATTAACTCAAAAAAATAAAAATTTAATTAATGTTTCTGACACGTTACTTTTCTGTTTTGTTTTTTCTCAAGTCTATTATTGTAATTCCATATGGGGTCTTTTTAGTAATTATGATCCACTGATTTTTTCAGTGTTGAAAGATCCTTATCCTTAGGGCTTAAGGCCCCAATAAATACCGAAAAGAAAACGCTGCGTTTAGTTAAGCTCTCTCGTTCTCTTCGAAAATTCTAGGGTTTTTCATTATCTCCTTCCTCGCCTCTCGCCTCTGAAATTTAATCGTAAGCTTCTTTGTGTGTTTGTAAATTGTATTTCTTTTATTCTTTCATTGTTTTAATTTCCATTTACTTTTGAATTCTCATGTTCTTACTTCCTTAAATTCTTGATATTTTTCATAGATCTGAAATATTGTTGAGTTTGTAGTTTTTCAATTTTTAAATTATCTCTTTTCAAAAACACAGAGACACATACATTTATTTCTTATGATTTGTAATAGTAATGTCAAGATTTATGGATTTGATACTTTAGCCTGTTAGAATTGAGAGCAGAAAAATTAAATCCCTTACTCAAATTTGATTCTTTTGAAATTTATATTTAGTTTTTCCGAGAAATTTAAAGATGTATGGATTTGATGTTTTAAAACACTTTTAAAGATTTAAAATTAAAATTTGATTTTTCAGAGAAATTTATTGTTTTTTCTCCTTGTTTGTTTAGTATAAGCTAAATCGAGTACCCCGAATTTATATAGAATAAGAAATCAAGCGTTTTGAACTGTTTTTTTCCCCTTCGGTAACAGTTATGAAGGGTTACTAGTCAACTAATATATATTGTTTAGCATAATAAAGCTGAAGTTATGTAAGAGCAATATAGGCAAATTATTTAGCTCTAAATGAAGCAAAGTTGTAGCATCAGATAGCATTGTAAATGTAATCCTAAGAGAATATAAGAGATATTAAGCTAAAGACCGCCCTTTCAGTAGAAGAGCAAAATATCGAACAAACTATGAGTCTGTTTTGATATTGTTTGATTGTTTCTTTTAATAATAAATTTCTTTGTGCAATTGGATATTAAGGAGATATTTGTAAAGAATTAAAATT